CCCTACCCCTACCCCTACCCTAGCCCTATGTTTACCCCTATTCCTGCCCCACCCCCGATATACCCTACCCCTGCCCGCTACCCCCATAATAGGGAAGCGCATAAAGGACATCTTTGAAAACATGTACATGTCAATCGTATAATTGTCCTCCACCATCTATCTTCTCTCAGAATGGATGGGCCACAACAGAAAATATGGGGACGTCAAGTCAACAAACGGTATCGGAACAGCCACTACAGTCTGTGGACACTTCGTCACGAGACATCGCTATATTACCATGTGCCTATATCTGTGCATCTGTATTTACAGTTATATCACAGGGTAGAGCTAAATGAATCATGTCATAAGCCAATGCATTATATTGCCCCTCCCTTTGACCTGGTTTGGATAGATTTCGAGTGGGTTTCCTGTCTTGATCGTTTCACGACTCCAGCCATACTCGGAACTTGTCGATGGTGGGAAGGTGTACTTTTCTTGTGGGGTCTTGGAAGTAATCACACGTTTGATTTTGTGCGCATACATCAAGTCAGCCAGAACCGGCTCAGCATTGGTAGCCAGTCCACACGGTAACTTGGATGGAAGTCCTGATGCATGTGGAGATGTAGACGCGATAGGTGGTAATTTTACGGTTGTAGTGTTATTTGGCGTAGGCTACATGAAATGATTGATGTGTAAGAGACTTGTTGTACCGACTGGATTCATTCGATAACACCAGCATTCATAATTTTGTCAGACATTATGACACGGCATTTAGCAAATGCACGTGTTTCCATTGCCATTTTGTCCGTTTGATCAAATCGTTCAATGCTTTCGTGAAACGACGTTTGCAACTTACAGAACGTAAGGTCTCGCGCATGAATCCCCAAGAGCGCTCCCAGTTCTTGGCAGAAGAGAGTTCAAACCTGATCAAAGTGCGCCTGAACGGATGGTATCGTTAGCTGTCTGGAATTACGACGTGTCAAGCAAAAACCACACTTCAACAAAGGTATTACCAAATCGCATCATCAGCAACCACATTCACTTCTCTCGATGAAGCGGCTTTTCCCCCTTGAGGTGCGTCGATGGCCATTGAGGTGGGTGCGTTGTTGTCTGTGGACAGAGAGTGAATTTTTAAAAACTGTCGTTTGATTGGACGCAAACGAGGGTTTTGTGAGGATCTTTCTTGCACGGGAAGCTGGTAACAAAAGAGCCGGTGTTTTGAAGTTTGAAGACCTCTTCTTGTTCAGCGCTTCTTTGCCCCAGACCTGCTGCAAAGCACAAATAACTCTGTCGCTCTTCAGTACTAGGTTTTATATTTTCTACAAGAGGATGAGAGATATAATAATTACGAGACTAGCAGACATCACCATCATCATTACATTGCCGCTTAAGATTACACTAAAGCTACTCGACTTGGATTGTGACTGTGAGTAAGACTTCACCCACGATCCTTGAGACTTTGGAATCGTTATGGTAGCATCTTTGTAAGGATGCCAATCTCCAATGCATTCAGCAGCAGATTGAGGACGGAACCCGCCGTTCAACAGAATCTGCACAGCACCTGGAGCCTGTGCAGCCGACACAGAATATAAATCATCTAAATATGCAACGTTAGCCAACAACATAACATAAGCAAATTTCTCAAACTTACGTTCTAAACTGATATGCCCGTGATCGGCAAGCACCGAGTTTGTAACCCATCGAGTAAAGTTGTTTGGTATCCAGCTTGGTTGATATGCTGCACTGGTCGATTGCCAGTCGTATGGATCATTATCCCACAGTAACGGTTGCATGCCCATCAAGTTCATAACAGCTCTCACTCGGTCATCCACGTCACCAAATGGTGGACGCCAGTACTTTGGCCTGGTACCTATTACTAGTTCTATGGCCCTCAGAGTATATTCGAATTCCATTATGAGTACTTCGTTCGTTTGAGTGGTCATTAGACTATGAGACCAAGTATGTGCACAGATTTGATGTCCTGCAGCGAATTCACGTAATAAGACAGCAGGTCGTTGAGTAACACGGGAGCCAATGACACAGAATGTTGCCCGAACACCAGTGTTGTCTAAATAATCTAACAGAGCAGGTGTATATGGCGATGGTCCATCATCGTAAGTCAGTCCCCAAGCATTCTTGTTGGGACACATCACGACATCGGAGTCTCGTCTGCACTTGTAACAGCCCCTGTAAGGAGGATGAATTTAGATCAAACAGCTATTCGAGACTCATCTCTGGGACACGGCAAGTCTGAATGACACTAGGAGAGCACATAGCTTTCCAAACCAGCAATCTTTGTTATAGCTCTGTTGCCCAACACATACCAGTCGCAAGTTGCCAGACTTGTTGGGCAATTTCCAGTTCCAGTTGTACTATTAAAGACCTTTACGGGTATATTCCTTATAGCATCAGGAATCTAATATAATCATAGTTGAGCTGTGACAATTCAAACATGTGCTATCTTGATGAGCTTACCGATGCTAGATTGTACAATGCTAGTATGCTAGGGTCGACAGCAGGAGGCCTATCTAATGCAGGGAGACCTGCAAATATACCATCAGGATAAGTCACCGTTGTTGGGACAGAGCTCGGTATGGCCTGCGGCCCTTGCAGCTGGGCATGTGTGGTTGCGGCCAGAAGAGTCAGCAAGAGCAAACAGTTGAGCATGTTCCGCATGTAGTGGTAGCTGCACAATGTGGCCACAACTCTCTCCAGTCCTCGAGTGAATGACTACTTACAGCGACCGTTCCGTTTTACAATACGCAAAGTAAAAGCGAAGATGGAAAGAGGGCCTCTCTCTGATTTTTTCAAAACAGGACAAACAGCACACTCTGCGATTGTTGGATGGCATCCATTCGTGTGCATCCTATAGCAAGACTCTTTATATCTGTGGCCTTGATCTGGACTGGATGGCATGTTTTATATCACACTTTCCTCAAAACTAGTACTAGCAGCTACACAACCAATACCCGATCGCCAATTACTTCTTCAGAAGAACGTTACTACGAACTAGCCCCAAAGGCATGTCATCGAATATGTATTTTTCTTCATGGATCGTTCCTTTCAATTCTTTACAACTTCGGAGGAGACAAAATTCCAACATTTGCACTAACAAATATCCTTCGTCTCTCACTAGTCATATTATTATGCTGACTTTGATATATTCACTGTTCTGCGATTCCCAGCCCATTCGCTGCTGCAAAACACGCTAGAACTATTCCCAATCCAGTCAGAATCGTCAACAACACCTCCATTAGACCACGACTGGGAATGGAATAGATTAATTAGGTTGACAAATCTAAAGGACGTGTACGATCTCATACAGCACGGGAACTCATTCGAACGTGAATATTTCAAAATCACTGTGGCTCATCCAGCAATGCTAGAAGAACAACGACTCAACAACCCTCCCAGATATTTGACACGAATAACATGTAATCAAGCCTACTTTTCTGAATATCCATTCATAAGAGATGAGGGTTATCGATGTATGAGAGATTTGAATCGGGGTTACGCTCAAAAGAACTGGCCTCATGACCAGATACTCTATCATATGCCGGCACTCATAGTAGCACTTCATGCAGAAATATCCACGCGAGGATATGTTCGGAAGGGCGTCTATACCGTAATCCCTGATGAAAGTTGTTGGGGATGGCACTCAGGAGAGTGGCCTGCAAACCACATCACACCACCGACATACATAGATACAACTGTCATGGTAGTTACCCAGTATTGGATGGACAACTTCCATCATGTCCTCACAGAATCGTGCTCTCGGTTGGCCTTCCATTACGAATATTTAATTACTCACAAGGATGTCCTGCTACATGTCGCCTCGACTAGAGAAGGGACATTAACACGTAAAATAATGGAATATCTGGGGTTTCCTGCTTCTCGGCTGATATCTGGTCATGTCGTGGCTGCTCGTGTAATTATGCCAGAACCCGCTTTACATTGTGGGGTGGGTGCGACTCGTCAGGTCAGAAAGCTTCATACGATACTCCAATCCAAGTTACCGCAAATCTTCCCGTCCTCTGAGCTGGATGTATCGAGCCATGGTGGATATATATTGGTAGTAAAACGATCCAAGGAACGACGAATGACCAACCATGATGAGCTAATCGTGTCGTTGAAGCATCATTTTCCTACAAGAGAAATTGTCGTCTTCTCGGATAATCCAGTGCCTTTCTTGGAGGAATCGTTTAAAATGTTTTATCTAGCTAGTATAATAATAGCACCTCATGGCGCAGGTCTAGGGAATCTGAACGTGGTCCGAAATGGAACTCTAGTAATTGAAGTGCTGACCAATGACAAGTTTATACACTTTGCATTTGCTCGCCTGGCTCAGCAGAATGACTTGAGATACTTTGGATATTCGCCAGAAGTTGGTCAATCAGAATATAAGGGAACGATCACTGCAAATATTGATCTGATTATACAGACGATACAGCGAGAAGCTGAATGAAAGCTGAAGATTCATGGTGTAGAGTGAGAGGGCTAAATGTTGAAACTTTCTCTATGCTCATCGAGTGTGATGGAAGAAAATGTCATTAATGGTAGATAGTGTAGAATGTATAATAAATCCTGTATAAAAGTAGCTTCTATTTTCAATAATTCCGGTTATTGGGTTGCTTGTACTGACTCACACATTCACTAGTACGTAATGTGCATCGAATAGATTTGACTGCTAAAGTACATAGTGGTTTATTTGCAAGATTTGCGGGTTTACGAGGAGTCTACGCGTGATGGTACGTAGAAATTCCTTTGTTATCGGCGCCTCGAAGGCAATAGCCAGGTCTGTCTTTCATATTCTGCAAAACGCAAGACACACGTCTGCGTCAACTTCACCACATAGACATCAAACCCCCTGACGTTGCTAACAATGAATGGACTTCGGTTCTTCACAAGGCTCTATTCTAATGGACCAGCAAGACGGCCGAATAGGAGAACAAAGCAACCAGCAGAACCGCCGTTTCAACAACAATTTCAACAACAGCCGCAAACTTCATCGCCTGCTTCAACCGCACTACTATATATGGTTGGAGGCTATTTGGCCGTCATCAATGCTGCAAGTTTTGGCCTCTTTTGGTACGACAAGGAGATGGCCAGAGCAAAAAAATGGAGAGTTCCTGAGAAAACATTACAGCTCTCGTGAGTGTCTGATGCTTTGTTGATGATGCTGATGCATGAGCGTGCGATGAATTTAAAGTGCTGTGGGGATACTGTGATGCACTTGAACCAATCTGTGTGGGGACTTTTTTTGAAAAGTGTGTTGGACTAAAATCGTCTCACGATTTTCATTGTCGACTTCACTATAGAGCACTCGCTGGCGGTTGGATCGGAGGCATGTTTGCGATGACGACATTCAAGCACAAGACTGTTAAAACCGAGTTCAGAATGTAAGTTCGGGGGTATCTTGTTTGTTTCAACAGATGCGCTAACGCACGGTTTCTAGACCCTACTTCATCTGCACTGGATTGAACATGATAATGTTAACCGGCCTGGCTTACACGTATCGACGGCATCCAGCTCTACTCAAATACTTGGGCCACTTATGAAGCGCAATACACAGCTTGCCCGAAACACGAAATGTACAAACACGATTGCATCTGAATAGAGGAGTCTCAACTACTACTTCTTACCTTTGGTACTGAAACCTGAGTTTGGTGAAACACAATATTAACCGATGTGCAGCATCAGCATACAAAGTTCTGGCTTTCTGACATCGAGGCTCTGGGGTCTTCGAAATTCAAAATTCAAGGCAATTTACGCGTCAATTATATAGAAGCTACTAGGTACATCACTGCGGTTATTTATCCGTACTACTTGAGTGTCAAATGTTTCAACCAAGAAGGTGTTCTTCCTTAAACGCGCAGATCACAACTGACTGAAGCAGCAAGTTTGCGAGTCTGCAATCTAGAGCGCGGTCCATAGCGCGGTTCTTAAGTTACTAGTGTGTGTAAGTTCGCCTCGGCCCCCCACCGAATCCATTATTCATCAAACAACTTCTACAGAAACACAACAGACAAGAACAGAACACGATGCTGGCTCCTCCATTGAACTTTCCCAAATGGCTAAAAGAGAATGCAGGCTTATTACAACCTCCCGTAAACAACTTCTGTCTTTGGAACGACGATTTCGTTGTAATGGTTGTAGGAGGACCAAATGCCAGAACGGACTACCATATCAATCCAACGGCAGTGAGAGGCTCCTGATGATATATGCCCTACAACGTCTAGTTCTCACTACTTTCAACTTTCTTAGGAATGGTTTTACCAGACCAAAGGCGAGATGTTGCTGAAGATTGTCGACGACGGTGTCTTTCGCGATCTCGCCATCAAGGAAGGCGAAATGTTCCTACTACCAGGTACTTGAATTCTCTACAGTTAGCAATGTGGACCAAACCTAAAACGACCGGGATATGCAACAACGCTGATTCATAGTTTTTGTTTAGCGAACACTCCTCACAACCCTGTACGATTTGCAAATACGATTGGCATAGTCATGGAACAGCGAAGGCCTATTGGAAGCAACGGTGAGCGTCAGATGCGCCACTGGCTTGAAAAGTCGTCAACTGTTAACTTACTTGAAGCTGTGTTCTAGACTCATTGCGATGGTATTGTGAAAAGTGTCGAAAGATCGTCTATCAAGAGTCTTTCTACTGTACGAACCTAGGAGTCCAACTGAAACCTGGTAAATCTTGGTTTGGGTGTTCGAAACTGACTGACGACTAACGAAGCATCTTCTCTAGTTATTGAGAAGTGGGCAAACCAACCAAATTTACGCGAATGCAAGTCTTGTGGCCATCACAATCCGGTCAAAGAAGCTACTGCAAAACTCTGATACTTCTCAATGTGGAATTTTTTATTGTACAGCTTCATCTTCAAAATATTACTGCTTCAAATCAAGAAATTTTAAATGCCATATTCGCATCTAGTAAACGTATGGTACGATTCTATTGGTTGTGTGTCAAGGACAGTTAAAGGGTGTTCTGCGCCACAAACAATCACAATATTTACCTTGATGGAACACGTTGTCTATAAGCCAGCCATTTATCTCCGTACTTTGCCAAACACAGCTTGTCATCATCTCTCTCCCGTGGGATGAACAATGCAATGTAATAGAGCGGCTATAAAAGAAACATTAAAAGAAACTTTAGCTAAGTTTCCAGGGCGAAACAACCAGACGTACATAAAGCCACGGCAGAAGGCCATCGGTGGTTGAAGATGCCGTTAACGACCCTGGAAGAGCCAACGCAACTGCTTGTAAGACTTCTCCAAAGTAGTTTATATGGCGAGCGAAGCCCCAAAACCCGGATGTCAAAATGGTAGTATCGGGGATGGTTTCTTGCGACATCTTCACACCCAGAAATGAATATTCCTTCACCTCAGGATTTACTTTTTTCTCGAATTTTTGTAAGTTCGCCCCACGAGTTATACACCATCCAGAAAAGAAAAGGGCCGTAATCGCAACGACTGAAACAGTCGAAAGATCCTTTGCCGCTAGTTTTGGGTTGGCGTTCGGAGCGAATTTGGCCAGAGGCAAACCTCCGATCGGGTAAAAGAAAGGGTAGCTACAACAGTCAGAGTGTCAGATCGAGATCGAAAAAACTTGTGTCGGCAACTTGCTTACAAGAAAAGACATCCCCATAACAGCTTGAAGCCAATTTTCTCCGCAAAGAGGTCATCTATGAGTCCAGAATTCTGAATACACACGTCCCTGCAACGCCAAAGCCAGTTCCACTGCTTACAAGTGTAGAGGTGAACATTTTCGTGGTACATGTATTCCACAACAAACCATGTGAACAGACTGTATCAAAGATGCAATGTGAGTATAACGACAGGATGGTTTACAGTATCGTCTCAAACACATACCAGGTGTAAACGGTTGATGCTCTGGAGGACACGCCACCATTGGCGGTACGCCCCTTTAGCCACATCGACAGTAGGTTTAGTTGCAGTATGACCGCACCCCAAGTGTACAATAGCATTTTGATGTCGATTCCTGCAATTCGTGGATTGAAGACATGGCCAAGAAAGAAGTCTAAGAGGGCGACCTGAAGGCCTCCGTTGGCTACTGCAGGTTTCATTGCCGGAAAGTTTACGATCTTGCCGTTCCTGTCCGTCATGTCCGTAGTCATGGCACGAGAGTATTTTTGATCTGGTCCAGGACGTGTCTTTCCGTGGAGAAAAGCTATGCAACTCGCCAGAATTCCAAGAAAGGAAGCCGAAGCAGCACACTTTCCGTAGCTATCGTATAAATAGGTAGACGATTTCACACCTTTAAATCCCTGTAAAGTTATAGAATGCGTAAGTACCTCAAACTACATCCAAAGTGTTGCTGTGGATGCAAACACCGGTACCATATATCCATAGAAAGAACAGACGGATACCAGCGTAGCGAGTCCATTAAGTTTGTACATCAACGGCCTGCCATCAAAATCCGTCACGTAACCAGAGGAGGCCTTGACTGGAATGATCTAAATGTCAAGATGTGAATTTTCCACGGCGAATCTAGATAGAATTGTCGATAGATACTTTGTGTAAGATGGCAGTAATCGCCAATATTTCTGATACTTGGATGAAACTCTTTGATAGAGACATGTCTTTCCTTGTTACTGTAAACGTGTCTCGTACCAAGTGCAGGAATTGGAGTTGGATGGGTCCTTTTCACGAAGAGAACCAAGTCAACAGGTCAAATACAGTGTACAGGTCGCTTTTTATAGTTCCTCAGATGTAGCGCACATGTTTACTTTGTCAGCCGTAGGTGCTATTGAGCGTGTTATTGCTGAGTCCATCATATCATTCACTTTCTCCTTTCTCACGGCTTTCACTCAAGGATCAGTAGCTGTTTCGACGGGAACCGCTTCTCTCGCATGTTTGGGACGTAGCGACCACCTATTCTGACGCTGCTCCACTAATTGAATCAACCAGCAAGCTCCTGCACAGATATCAAGGAGGAGAAGGAATGCAGCGCAGTGTGTGTATTCATACGCAACTAAATTATTGCAATCCTTCGTAGTGGATGCTACTAGGTTTCTGTACTCCAAAGTTGCAGGTGGCTTTCAAGAAAGGTTTGGTGTTCAGAAGAGAACGACTGAACGTGCAATTGATACGGAACTCATATCTCCCCCACTTGTGATGCTCCTTCTTTGGATTAAACTCCCCAATTGCTCAAGATCTACGACATTTTGAATTATGAAATGCTCATTCTCACTTGGCTTACTGTGTCAACGGGATGAAGGCCCAATGAAATGTTGATATTCACACCTGTTTCAAGATGGATGTCCTACTTATCTGGTACTAACAGTATGAGATGTTATCTCAGATCGTCGTCAAGTTACTGCAGCAAGTCTGCAATGCTTTGTTTGGGCTGTTCTTTTGCAATGATGCCTTCTGGAAGAAGCCAGTTTCTAGCTAACCATGCTGACTGGCCCTTTCACAGGGCTCATTTGAGCAACATTCCTTCTGGATGAGTCCACCGCGTGGTTAGATGAGGGTAAGCTGGCTTTTCATTTATAAAGTTCCATCACGATTTCACCACAACCGTCCTCATCACATATTGATTATTTATTAGACAATCACGTGGTTGTTCGTGTTCGGCTTTCTTTTAGTTCATCGCAACAGTCCGCCGACGTCTAAGCAAACTCTCCAAAGTAAAATAGCACTACACAGACCAATGTTTGCTTCCAGCTCGACATTGTCTGTGCCCACTCGGCCCTAAAAGATTTGGGTGGACTAGTTATCTTGTAGCTATGGTTCCAGTCTGAGGAGGGTTTGTTTAGACTTTTGACGGTGGTTGGTTGTAGACTGCAAGATAAACAAGAGATGTTAGGATTATCATGAAGGCAAGGCAGGCTCCCTCAAACTAACGATTTTTACTGTAGCTCATCAAGTTTCTCATGCGATAGATAATTCACGCGGCTCTCGTCATGGTGTTTGATTCAAGCGGGGTCTATTCACAATCTGTAAGGTCTTATGGAACTACACAGCTCTTCCAGAAGGCAAAGTCTTATGGCACTACACAGCTCTTCCAGAAGGCATCATTCGCTAACAAATCTCGAAACGAAATACGTCAAGTATTTCCTGCCGTCACTTGCTAATGATCTATAAGAGCAGTTCGTAATGTTAGTACCAAAACAATATGATGGTCCTCTGGAAAACGTAACGTACTATCCACATTTAATAGTAGATTTTGTACTTGTGATGAAAATTCACGATATTGATGTCGCAGATGTTGAGCAAGTGGGGCGTGGAATACAAAGAGGGAGCATCACAAGTAGTGTGACTAGGAGTTCCGTATCGATTGCCGTTAAGTCGACCTCTTCTAAACACCAAAACGCTGTTGAATGGCAACTCAACTTCGCTTGAGACGTCGATGTGTCTGAACAGTGTGCGGAAACCCAACAGATTTCACTAGGAATGATGGTAAAATGTTAGTTACGTATGCTTGCAACCTCTACTCTCATTCCCTCCTCCTCCTTGTCGGCGACCGTGAAGCAGCAGCTGCGTGCATGCGATGCTTTGGAGTTTGACTGCCTTGTTCTTCATTGATCCATTGGTAGAGCAGCGTGATGCAATATACGAGCTACGGCCGAATGCGTAGAAACTTCTGTTCCAGCCAATATTGTCACTGATCTGTTCTCTGTTGAATGTGACTTGACGTATGGTCATGATGGTCTGAAGTTGGTGTTCTAGATTGGAAGCTGGACCACAGGCTAGCTATCTGGTTGGGTCGGAAGCAGATTCGGGTGGAACGACAACCTTCGCAGTCACAAGTGGCTCGCTGAAGTAGCATCATCTGGAAGGGAAAAATCTTTTATTTCCTTTTTTGTCCTCTATAAAGAGCTCGCCAAGTGTCTCCTCTGCAAATGATAAGCAACGTCGTTTTCAAACCTCGATATTGAATCCAACCACTAAAAATTGTTCCAAATCAGATTAGCATCTTGATCGTTGAAGATTCGAGTGAATATCAGAGACTACTTACGGTTTCTATATCATCACGTACGGCATACCGACTATGTGTGAAAGATAGTGTCGTGGAGCTTTGAGACAAATACGTTACGGCAGAGTCCACCAGCAAGTCCTCCTGTGTACTCGTATATAGTTCATCTAGTTGTGGAGCCGACCAGTAGTTCTCTCCTACTGGAGGAAGCTTGGATGCGACACGTTGTACCAATTCTCGATCTGTTTCATCCCTCAATTCTTCCGGCTTGCCAACATCTCCCACAACCAAAGCTCGAAGAGAACGGCACTTTTCTACAAAGTCCAACTTGACACGTTTTACAGGAATGAGATGCTTCACACCTCGTATCTCCATCTCGGCATCAATATCGATTTTGATTTTCAACTCCTTTGGAACTTTGAGCGACTCTTTTATATCCTTGAGTATACTATGTTTTGGTGCAGGTTCTGGCTTGTTTACAACCATTTCGACGTCTTCATCATCAGAGAGAATCTCTGCAAAGCCATCATTCTTAGAGTCAGGTGTACGGCGACGTATATCACGTTTCGCGTAAGTGCTAGTATGAGTCCTATCTATAATAACTGGAGCAGCGACAACAGGACTCTCTCGTGAATGACTTTCACGGCGTCGTTTACTATCAGGAGCACTATCGTTTGGTGGAATATTATGCGGAGGGGCTTTGTTAGGTGACGGTGAGCTTGACGACAACCCACTTATCGTGATTACAACTGGGTAAGCTGATGCTGCACCTCCACCATTTACAGTTTTAATGCCAGATCGGGTGGATCTCGAAGACCTCTCTGGACTTGGCGTTTCCAGTCGTGACTGGCGTTTATCTTCGGATCGTAATATGTGAGGACTGACTAGTCCTTCAATCAATGGATCCTTCAAATCATTCAATTCAGTAGCCATATCAGGATTACGACTTGTGATGGTAAATACATTGTCTAGAGTCATTCCTTCAGCTACAGACACCGTAGCAGGTGCAAGCATCGGAGGTCGTTCGATTCCTTCTTCTACCTCAATCCAACCCCAAGTCTTTTTCTTTCTTCTCTTGGGCCTAACCCATTCGACATGGCATGGGCACATCCACTTTCTACGTATAAATACAAGACCAAGACTAAAATTAGGGGCTGGAGAAGACCTTCCTATCCTTTCATCACCAGACTCTGCGTCTTTTATATGATTGAGAGCACTACCATGGTTTATATCGGGTAGCAAGTCAGCATTACGACGTTTCGGACGTCCTGCATCGACAAATTCACTCCATTCCCAGTCACGCAGAGCATCCTGACCCCAACTGGTCTTTCGCAAATCACGTATAAGGTTGAGATCAATCTTCTCTAGGTTTCGTGGTGGGACGTCAGCTAGTGGTGGATCCAAACAATCATAGTGCCAACACAAGTCACAAAAGTCACATTTTATCATGTTGGATCGGACACAATCATTGATCAACATGGGTTCACCAGAATCATTTGACAGTCGAGTAAACGTAGCGGATCGAGACGACAGAAATTGAGTGCTCGTTAGCTTCATATCTGTTTTACCACATTTATAGCAAGCTTGGCTTTCTGGTTCTATACCATCCTTCTTATCCTTATCTCCGCCCAGCATTCGTTGTCGTTTTTCTTTACGACGCATTTTTCCATCTTCTTCCATGATTTCGCGTTCGGTAGCATCCAGATACGCGCCAGAGTGTGGATGAGTCAGAACCCCCTCGAATATTTCACGAATATGTCGAGGCAGTTCAAAGACCTTTGGATTAGTCTTGTCCATGTCATCAAGCAGAGGTTTCCACATCAAAGAGAAGGTCTCAGTCTCGACAGGTAGAGGTTGAGCCTAACAGAACTTAAAGGTCAGATACTCTCACCCCTGCACCATGACTTCACACCGAATCGCAAGGCAGTGCTAACCTGGCGAGGTCGGCAGACCGCACATTCCCAAGAGCCTTCTGGAGCTTTGACAAAGGGGGGATTCATGCATCCAACATGAAAGACTCTTGGGCACGAATCACAACATACAAGATAACCACCAAGCAGACATGATGAGCAATGATTATCACTGTCACCAGTAGCCTGTTGAATCATTGATAATTAGACGTCGCTCTGTTGCTTTGTGAATGCTACGATATTAAGAGACAGGACAAACTAGACTCACGCGAAGACTCTCCATATCCCCAGCAAACCTGGTAGGCGATGGCGGTTCCAAATTGGCAAGGAAGCTTTTGATGCTGTGACCAGGAATTTCGATAGGTTTTGGGGTAATAAATTTGAGACGGTGTGTTTTTCGTTTTGCGTCCATATCAGAGATACCAGTCCTACTGAACGTTTTCAAATTAAACGAAATTCAAAGATACCAAGAATACAGAATAGTCTCGTAAAACGATCAGGTGTGGAGCCATGGGTGAGAAAATGCTCACCTTTTTTCTTCACCAAGGATCAGTTTCATGTCATCCAAAATGTCATCTGTAGGGTCTGCAGCAACTGCTGGTGGACGAGTTGGCAATGGGTTCTTTATCATATTATGGGGAAGACGGACACCGCCCATTATGGTTGCGTACGATATAGACAAGTTATCAGTCTTGACCTTGGGATCTCTTTTCGGCCTACCAGCTCTTCTTTTCTCTTCATTTCCTGAAGCTGCACCACGACCATCGTCTTCAGTATCATCTGCATCATGCGGCGCATCAGGTCGTTTTCCATGCCGTTTCGACTGTTTATTAGGTTTCAAGTAGTCTGACTCAGGAGTACTTGATGTAGCATAAGATCGGCCATCCTTCAGTCGAGCTCTTTTGGAAGTCTGACTGGCGTCTCCTTTGGGCATACGACGTTTTTTGGTGGGTTGGGATGATACTATGCGAGCATCTGACATCTCACCGTCAGACAGATCGGTCAATTCCGACGAGACTGACGAGAGGGCAGAATCTGAATCAAAGATGGTTGAATCTAGTATCAAAGCATTTAGCAAAAGGGTTTTCTTCATTTAGATTATTTCAAATCAATGTCAAAGAAAGTCTTTACCTTGCATATTGGAGTCCATTTTCAGATCATCTACACTTATGACATCATCTTGATGGTCAAATTTAGCAGGATTCAGTAGAGGAGTTTGTGTACTTCCAATCTCGCTCTCATCTTTCTCCGATGGCGGCCCTCCATCAGAGACAGGGGCAGGAGCTTCATTTTCTGTTGCGTCGAGATGTTCAGCAATGTCATTATCACTATGAGTACTTTCAGCGTCTGGAGGGCCTCCGTCGCTAATATCTGCACCACCGTCCATGTCAGTGACGTTTTCAGCAATCAAGTCGACATCCATATCAAGTGCAGCAGCGTCCACAATGGTTGAGGTTGATGACTTTGGGGTACGATTAATGGCTGCAGGTGATAGTCGGTACTCTTCAATATTACGTACTAGAGGTTGAGAGGGTATACTTTCTAACATGGTTGGATTATTCCTGTCGGGTGATTTCGACTTTGAACGAGTCATCCTGATGTTATCTTCAGATGGTTTCCTGATGGATGTACCATCATCAGATATTGTATGTTCCATCCTAAAAAAAGCAAGCGAGATGTAGCGCCACAAATGACAAATAGAAATGCAGTCCAGTAATTGTATAGGATTTGATGAGGAACAATATGTTTAAACACACTGCTATCAGGAAACCTCATGAATGATGTTTCCAACTGGCATGCAACAGCAAGAAGCGAGTTTACTTTTGTCGTTTGTTGTTTGTCGATAAGGTATCCAAACCTCTTGTTCATTGCTACAGCATCACTAGAATCGAATTACTCACCACGCTAGATAGTATTATTCACCAATTTGCAAGAAAAGAAATCACTAAAATGGAAGAAGAAACAATGTGGTGAGAAAGGTTGCCAGTACACCCAATATCCACCATCAAACCAAAGCACGAGAGTAGTTTCCACGTCATCAAGACATGATCAAAATGTGAAAAATGTGCTCATACAATCTGGTGCATGGATTTGGGCCACGAATCCGATCCGTCCACGACGACAAAAGTTCTTGACATACAGAGCATAAACCACCAGTCCATCCAGTTTTTGACAAATAACCTCTTACCCGTCACGGAAAACTGAAATATCCATATCGATCAACACACTTTCTCGTCCAAAATCACACAAAATCTCACGACACAACTATCGACAAGTTTCACCCATAATAACCCTCCAACAACATCAAATACGAAAGAAAGTATCACTGCGATGACTATCAGCACTTACCTAGGTTCGGTAGGTCCCGGCCGCCATGAATAAGACGCTAGCACTTGATAAAAGGGCGGAAACGCAGTTTTAAATTGACGAACATTGATTGTTAATAACAACATCTAGGAAGATCATCTTGCAGCGTAACCAGGAATTGCAGACGTGTCGGCCTATACGTGTATTGCATTTATGCGAGTAGATACATTCAATGAATATTCATTCGTCATCATCACTTTCTTCATCTTGCGACAATTTACTGAGGACTCTACGAGCATAATCACCGACACTACGAGCATTTGCTGCATCTAGCGTCTTCAAATACCCCTGTAACACGTTCTCTCCTTGTGACAGCTGAAAGAGGTGCAACAGACACCTCTCTGCTGCAAGCTTCACAAATATAATACGGTCTCTCACACAAACCATGACCGGCGGAACCAACACAGACAGATTACCCAATATAGACTTTGAGTGTTGCTTTTTGGCCAACTTTTTGAGAACCACAAGGGATTCTCGTCGGACTTCATTTTCTTTTCCAGCAGCGGTTAATATACTAGCGAGAATTGGCACTAACTCATCGCCCTCTGTACTGCCATGACTTCCATCTCTTGTCAGAAACCTACCAGTGGCCTTTACAGCGGATTCTCCAATGAGTAGCTTGTCGCTACCTAATCCTTCTATCAGTGCGCGCTGACATTGGGCTTGGAGCTATGTTTGAAAGGGTTTGTTTGGTTAGACGCGGTCTGATTTCCTGATGGAACGACAAAGTGAAACCAAGATGAAGCGTTGATCTCACCGATAGGCTATCAATCAGGGAAGGGCATTCGTCCAGTATAGATTTCCAAGATAACACTACTCCATGTAGAGCTGGGCTACTGCCGAGAATACCAATAATGTTGAGGGCTTCGGCTGGGGTAGCATATTCACAAAAGCAACCCAAACATCTGGAAGCCTTCACTCTCACATTGTCTAGACAAACAGTCACTTAGCAAACGAAATTGTCAACTGGAGCAAGATTCATACCACCCACCATCCGTTGATTCAGATAGAATGGCTTCCATCAATAAATTCTGCAGGCCAGACTTGCTACTTTCATTTATTTCCCTTCCTGCTCGTAAATTCTTCACCAATCCATACATTGCCTGCCACATGGCTTCCTTTACACCACGATCTTCAGCAGCACGTATGCCTTGTGTTAGTTCGACAACTAGTGGGTCTAATCGAGGCTGTTGTGGTATAAGCAGTGACAGATTGTTTGCAGCTCTATCGCGAGCAATGTTGGAGCCTGGTTCAGACAAGGCCTTGATAAAGGTTCTTTGGAGTTGAGGTAAAAATGGCTTCAAATGCAATGGCACTTTCTTTAAAAGCAGCCTAAACAGTAATATTAGTACAAATGAGAACATTGTTATACAGACCTGAAAAAAGGTGAAATCATACCCCAATGTATAAAGAATGGCGGACTTGACACCAGATGGGACCCGATCTCCAACCACTCGAATCAATGGACCAGTCATCTGAGTGACGAATGGCTTTAGTGCTTCAGGTGTCGATCTTGTAACTACATCACCAAGACCGAGTGCGGATTGTTCTCGAATGTCAGCACTTCCATAAGACAGGCCTTGCAAAAATATGGACAAGATGCCAGATACGCCTTTTGTACTAGCAAAGCCTTTTACTATTTCACCTTCATCAAGATTACTACATGCCATGGAGATGGCTCTTCGAACTGGTGATACATATCTATCAAGATCATCCTTTCTAATTCTTTTGAGTAATGCATCAAGAGCAGCGGTAGCATTCTCAACCATATCTTCGTCAGTCATTAGTTCAATGAGTCTTTCAATCCAATCATTTAAGTCATCGTTCAAGTCAGCTTCCGTCTCAGCAAAGAATACTACAAGAGCCTTGCACGTTGCTTGTCGGCGACTAGCAGATCCTTCTCGAAGACCTTCAATCAGTATGGTCATTATCGTTGGGAGATCGTCAGTGGTGATCTTCAAAAGCAGAATTTTGAGGGTGTTCTCCGCCTTAGTTTTATAAAAGAACCGTATTGAGTACTGCTTGTTTTGATGCTGACGTAGACACACTTCTTACTCACCTCAGCTGCACCCTCATCTTCATCTTCAACAGCATCCAACAACACTGATACGATAGAACCAAGTCGACGATTCAGAGCAGATCCTGCTACCGTTATCAATGTGCCTAATGCTCTGGCGTTGAACGACGTTATGGGCCTTGCCATCAAAGTCGGGGCCAAAACGGGGAACACAACATTGGACCTGACAGCCATTATCTCTTTGAGTGCCTCCAATGCATATGTGTTTCCACCTCCAGACTATTTGACATGTTGATTTTAAAAAATGACGGGTGTTGTCGGCAAATGACGGCAGAAGGCCTTAAATTTTGCAATACCTTCAAATCGTTGAGCAAACTAGGCAGTACTTCGTCAATAGCTCTAGCGCCCAAAATCTGATGCAAAGAATCAAATGCTTGTGCGGCTGCCTCTCGCACTTCTGATTCCTCATCCACCAACGCTTTACGTATAGGACCAATAATATGCGTAGCAAATTCTCCCCCTTGTGTTTTGCTGAGCGCAGCCATGATTTCAGTCATACCGATGCAGACACCTAATTTTGAGCAGAGGTCAGTTGCCGCCAAAGTCTGGTAAATCCATTCAGTCGCTCACCTTGACGAGTTGCTGGATCAGCATCAGTAATACCAGATTCGAGGATGGGTATTATCTGGGCGAGAACCGTTTCACCCATCTTCTGAACTAAATCTCCTAATGTTCTTGCAGCGACTCCACGCCTTTCAGTAGACGAGCTCGAGAAACAGTTGATGAGTATCGACATCATTACAGGGAATATTTCTTTCAATGTACGAGGGGTATTGACCACAATAGACTTCCAGACATGGAGTGAAGCTTGACGGACGATGGCGATGTTATCGGCTCTAATAATATATATAGAAGACATGACGGTTTGGTATCTGTGGATACCAAGGGCCTCAACCAGCGACGATTTCGTAATGGTATCGCTCTCATCAGCTGCATCTTCATCATCTTCTTCATCACTATCGGTGTTAGTGTTACCACCTCCAACCTTATATAACAAGTCTCCCATAAGTTGTATAGACGACTGTCGGATACGCCAGTTGTTATCAAAGAGACCACGTTCGAGCTCAGGCAGAAGCAAGTCAATGGCAGACTTAGCGTAACCACGAATGACCATTTGACCGGAACGTAAAGCGGCATCCCTTACAGGTTCAGCGTCATCGGCCAATCCTTTGAGTAATGCTGGAATCATAGAACCGAGGTATGGACGGAACTTTTCACCGAAGGTAAGAGGTAAATATATAAAGAGGAGCATGAAGCCCTCACGCACATATGGTCGTGGCGAGGATATGTTGAGTTGAATTTCGGGTAGCATGGCTTCCATTCTCTCTATTCCAATACCGGCAAGCACTTCTGATAGGCCTTGCGCTGCACCAGATCTGTCCACTGCAGAAGTATCACTTTTTAGAGTTTGCAATAGTTCTGATACGAGACCTGGGAAGACGTCTTCCGATAATTTTTGTACCATACTACCAAGAGCATGAGCAGCGATAGATCGAGCCTCAGGTACTGGATCTACAAGGACCTCCTTCAAGCCTGGCATCAATACTGGTAGATATGGCGTCAAATCTTTTTGTTCAGTCAGGGAGGCAATATTGCCCATAATTTGTGCAGCTTTTTTGCGAACGTCAGTTGACCGTTCTTTCAAACCTCTCCGTAATATGGGAATGACTAGAGCTAGAGATGGTGCATCGATATAGTGGACAAACGTGGTCTCGAGTAAGGCAGTGAGAGCTGTCAGGGTCTTGTTATTTGGATCAACCATTCCTTGAAGAATAGTAGGTACCAAGGCTTGAATCTCTGGATTCTTTATAACCGATCCAAAATGAGTTAAGGCCATTTTTGCCGTTTCCTAAGGACAAAGGAAGTATTTGTTATGGATAATTCCTCTCTTGACAGCATTAACTTTACTGCAAAGACACTATTTTCATCACGCTGATTCCAAAGGCACCCATCCAAAGACAACTTACTTGAACTTTGGAATGAGTATCGCTGAGCACTTCGACCAAACGCGGAATTATAGTTGGTAGACTCAGACTGAGTTGCTTTGGTGCCAAAAAGGCCATGGATCCCAATAACTCTATGCTACCACATTTTGCCCGCCATTGTCTATCAGCCAGACCATTCAAGAGACTTGGTAATACCAATTTGACGGCGTGGGCGGATAGTTTCGACATGATGGCTCGAGAAGCGTCTTCGGTCGCAGCTCGTACATCCTGTGACGAGTCTCCGAAGCAGACAAGTAGTAGTGGAAGTATCTGTACTATAAAGGGTTCGAATAGACGGCCTAATGTCAACGACAATGTCTCGATTGCAAATAGAGCTCCTTCTCGACGTTCCATGCGTTTCTTATCTTCAACTGCCTCCTTCAATGATTGCATTATTCCAAACTCTTTGAGAGCCGAAATACCACGACCTTTCACTACACCAGACAGTCCATAGGCGGCTCCACGACGTTCTGCATATTTCGGACTCTCAAACATTTGCTTCAATAAGGAGTCTGCTAAATCTTTAGAATTGCCTGGAATGACTTTTACAAGAGCTGGCAAGCACTCAGCTACTGCTGATTGAACAATCTCTGATGGCGTCTTCAAAGTCTCAATCAATTTAGATACTACAGTCGGAATGGTCGGATCAGACGAATCCAGATGTTGTGACAGAGTGCCAAGCAGAATAACGACGGCCTCTCGCATTCGATCATGTTCCTCCGACTGTCCAGCGGGGCGAGAGAGAAATTCATCACATATAGACAATAAGGGCTTTACACTTTCTTTACCAGGGCCCTTGACTGCCTCTACACCAGCTTGCAACATGGTTTTACGGACTATGTCGGACCGGTCACCAAGAGCTTGTGACGATATCAAAAATGCAAAGAATTCCAGTAATGTTGATTGATTTAGCGTTGGAGCGACAGCTTGCAGGGCCAATGCAACACCAAATCTAGCTTCCCATTGGTCTGGGCGGTTCAAAGTATGTGGAATTACCATGCCATAGTCGTCAAATTCTGGCGGTAATATCTCGACCTGGTTGTGTGGAGGGGTTTGAATGGGATATTGAAGAAGACACAGTGACTCTTCATAAAAGATGGAGGTGTTTTGAATGTGTTTACCTTTTCAGCGTAGGTCTTGTAAAGATATTCCAGCGCCGAAGTCAATGACTCTGTATGCACGTCCAATGCAGACCTCAGACCAAGACCTGCAGCGACTCGAATGGCTGATGTCGAATGCACTGAAAAGAAGTTCGAACCAGATTAGATTCCATGCCTGTGTCGAGCCGACAGTAAGCGAAGAAACAACGCAAGTGAGTCTCTCACCTGTAAGATCTAAAATATGAGTAATGACTGATTCTTTTACAGTATCTTCACCATTCCATTCTTCCCACAATGACTGAGCTTCTTGTACGACTGCTTCAGCAGCTGTATCATGCTTCAACGTCCAGACTCGAGCATCAAAATCGTCCTCTAGCAACGCTGGGACCTCAACATATGTCAAGGCTGCCAAACAAGCTTCCCGGACAGCGGCCTCTTCCGACACCAGCCCTTCTACTAATTCTTTGACGACACCGACGTCATCGCGAAAGCCACGACTATGAGGGGATTTCCCATTTACAGGACTAGAGGTTTCGAGCTCGTCTTCTTTAGCAGCTGCCATGGATTCTCCGACAGCAGCACACATGGTTAAGAGACCTTCTCGGCCTCTCTTGTGGACTCGTGGATATTTGGTCAAGAGATGAATTACACATTTTACCATCTCACCTCGCGGAACATGTTCCAGCGTAGTAAGACTTGCATGGGTAAGGAGGATATCTGCACATGTCATTATTGTATCGTTGATTTGCTTGTCACGGAGCGTCGGAATTCGACCACGTTGCATGATGACAGTCTCCAACAACGTGAATACATATATGAACTCTAAAGGCTCGAATCGATCAATCTTTTTTAGCATCGTCATCATATGCGATAGTGCTGAAGCATACTCTGTCTGACACCACTTTATGGGAATACCATTCGGTCCTTCTTTTACATTTAAAGTTCGTAAAACGACGGCTGCGACCACGGACGGTATAAGAGGATGGAGATCTAGTGTTTCTGCCAAGCGGAAGTAAGCATTGACGACTTCTGCTTTCGACACAGGAGCTCGGTCTCCATCTGAAGAATATGACAAGATACTATCTAGAATGGGAGACAACCACAGTTCGAGTTGCTCGAATGCATCGCCTCCTAATGGGCCACTAACGGCCTCAATGACTGCTCCTAGTAGTATAACAGCCTTTTTGATACTATTTACATCTAGTTGGACACGTTGTCGAATTTCAGCTTCTTTTTCAAGTTGCTGAGCGCGTTCCGACGACTTTTTTGAATCCACAGACTTTGCAGTCTTTGGTGGCGGCTTCTTGCCTTTAGCTTCCATGAGCTGTCTCTCTAGTTCCCACGATCTACTCGACGAGGCTTTGGGAGTCGTTGGTGCGTTGCTAGTAAATTCGGCATGTAGTTGGTCGGGCGGTGCTTGGTATATATCATAGTCGTTCTGACCAACTTTGATGGCAAGGCTGGATCTTATATAAGGGATTATTAGCGGGAATATGGTGGTAGGTGCGATCTGACTGGCCAGAACTATTGCGGGAATCTAACAGAGGACCAAATCAATTACTTTTTCACGACTTTGAAACGAAGCAAACGACTACGTGACATACTGACGGGATAATCGGCAAACTCAACCACGATGACACAAGCTCAGGGCCATGGGCTTCGACGACTTTCATGGCATCCAACCCAGCTTTTACTGTCAACCTCACCCAAGCATCTGTTCCATTCACATTCGTAATTACAGGATGACACAATAAAACCAGCAGATCTGCCAATTCCTTCTCCAGCTGCTGAGCTGTTGGCGCCTGTACATCCTTATTAGTAACACTATGAGTTTGGAATGGTGCTTCCAAGGCTCTAAATATCAGAGATCCTAACTCATTACCACAAAATGCTGGTTTGTCGTTCCAAGCACTGATTTCTTCAGATTGGTTACTGCCAGTTAGTAACTCATGAGCACCAGTTCCAATCAAGTGTAGGATGCGAATTTGCATCTCCACACTATTTTTGCACAAATCTGATACTTTTTGCGTTGTGGCATTTCGGATGCGGAATAGTGGAGTAGATACGAGACAAAATACCAAAGCATTTGACAGGTTAGTCATCAATGCTGAATCATCACTATTATAATGAGACTGGCATAACTCGATGACACAATTTACAAATGGCATTTGGGTGTCAAGTTTCAAGTATAATCTCGAGTCCAAAGCAAACTTGGCTTTGGTAAGCCATGACAGACCATTCTCTTTGTCGACTTGCAACAGCCAGCTCAATGCTAAAAACCCTTCCACGAGAGTGAAAACCTCCTTCTTTGACGAGTCTAATATGCCGATTCCTACAGCCGACACCTTTTCCAAAGTTTTACATGCATCTTCCTTGATTAGTTTGACGCTACTATCGCCCAAGAATACATGAGCCGTTCGACTGGCCAGGCAAGATTCCAGACATGTCAAATATCCTTGTCTATTTACAGCTTTGTCTGAACCCATGCCAAACAAGATGGCTTGGAGCAGTTCTTTAGTAGCTGCCACGTTATCAATAATAAAGCTGATGTGCGACATTCGGCTACTTAGTATGGTAGAGACGACGGCTTCATTCGTCTCCTTGCTGGCTAGACTCGTCAAGTGTTGCACCACTCGAATCGATGTTTCTGTTGACAGCGGTAACGATGATAAAGCTACGACAATGGCTTGACGGTGATCTGGATTGGGAACTTTGGAATTCAGGGCCTTAATCATCACGTCCGCGACTACATGTAGAGAGTCGGTACTCTTCTTGGTCAAGATTGATATGAAATCCACTGCAGCAGTTTGTACATCGTCATTACTCGACTGCAAATGTTCTATTCGTTCACATGGTTTAGTGTTCCTTGAGAGAATAACGCGCTGACAACTGGGCTAATGACAAACTTACTAACGAGGGATTCCGCAAACTTGATATACCATTGACTGGCATTTATAGGAACATGGCGAAACACATGGGTATAGACTAGAAAAGTTATATTTAGCTTTGGTGTGTTGAAGGAGTTGTTTGTGCAAATCTTGCGTCAGTCCAACTGAACAAGAATTACTATAGGCTACCTTTCAATACGACTTCCGGAGAACGAAGTAAAAGCTTCTCAGCTGACGCCATAAGTTCTGCATCAATCATCTCGGCGGTGATGTGTTTGTGGAAGAAGACACTAAACGATTCCTACAGGTTTTCGATTAAGAGCTTAGCAAGTCGCATTTGGGTAACAATAAAGTTTCTGAAGTATACGGTGTGGCCGTACCAAGTATGCATCAGGGATTGCGGACTTTGTTGTGTTGACTGCCTTTGCAAACGTCTTGAGAAGGTCGTCCTATGCGTATTGAGTACAAAGTGAGAAACATTGAAATTAATTCGCTGACAAGGGGTCGAATGCTATGATCGCATCCTTACAGCTAAAGATTTGTCCATGACAGGTGTGGCTCGCATACAGGGATCTAAAAGCAAGCAATATTTCCAAGAATCTGCAGTCATATTTGTGCAAACGAATTCGATGATAGGCTGGATTCGTTGAGGATTTTGTCGAAGCAGGTATCTGAAAGCACGAGTGGCAGCTAGAGTGAATTTTTTGGCAGGTTGGTCAACCAAAGATTGCCACAAGTTTACTTGTTGACTGAGCAAAATCTTTGTGGCAGTCGTTAGAGAGTACGATATTGGGGTTTGGGCCATCAACTTTGTTGCAAAAGCACTATATGCGAATAAAATACTGGGGGCCCAGAGCCTATACAATGGGATGTAATGAGTGGTGCTTAGTGACTGGCAAACCAGCAAAGAAGGAGGCATACAGCGAGGAGGATTTGAGTTCACGTTCTAGCATGCGAGTAATAGCCATGAGGAGGACAGGATCACCAGCTTGATCGGTTTTACTGAAGCGGTTTGCCGACATGAGCGTAATAACGAGCTGCCAGACAGCATTCCTTGACTCCTTGTCAGAGTACCTTGGAAGAGAAGCAAAGACAGCTTCAAGTAGAGCTTGTAGATGCAAAGATTCTGGTTCTAAATGATGCGTTTTAATTAAGTTTTAGGGCTGCGACAAGTTCGAGTATTTTTTGTGCAAGTAAAGCCAGTGCATCATACCATCTTGTTTGATTTTTGCCACAGATTGGGACCATATATTTATTCTTTCACGTGGTTTTGATATGGACACAGCAGGATATAACCTCTTTTCAATGAATTCCGTCCAAGGCAACGCCAGTTCTTCCTCCTGCTGCCTTGCCAGGTTTTGCTCAAAGAACAAGTCATCATCCTCGTCCTGTTCCTCGAGGCCGAGAGCTGCTTGCTTGGCAGGCTGCTGCCGGCGTGACATTTCAACTGGATTTATATCGACCTCTAGATCCTTCCTGAGAAAAAATGAGTGTTTAAAAATATCAACTCGACGAGCAACGAGCGTTGACCGACTCTAAAGAATCTAGTGGGCTAATAGGGAGCCATGCAAAGTGCTTGTTGAACTGATTGCTATGTTACGTTTCTATTTACTAGAGGTGCAGAACAAATAATTAAAATCCTACAGGGTAAAGGTTGCAGTCAACCAGAAATTTACAGCCCATATCGCAACCGCATCTGGTGACTCTTCAACAACAATTTAAACCTTCTGAGCATTCCTTCTGTCTTTTTGTCAAAGATACAAGATCAAATTCGCATCCAATCCTCCAATCATCTCCAACTCAATTCATCAACAAGAAAATCTTGCGATTCAACACATTTATTGGTTGTTGCTTAGCACCTCACAATCTCGCCAACATGGGCAATCGTCAAAGTGCATCGTTACCTTCGCCTTCACCATCACCTTTGCCTTCAACTGCTTATATTGCCTCACCTACAACCACCACAGTCACAGCAATATCTTCCACTGCCGCCACAATGTCTCAACCGTCTTCGGCATTGGTATCTGAACTATCGGCCGGTGTTAGCAGCTCGAGTTCATTTCCTATGATTGCTATCGCTGCCATTGTTGCCATCTGCTGTGGCTTGCTAGTGGCTATATTGTTATGCACCTTCACTCGTCGTAGAATGAGACAAAATACTAGTCAGCCGCCAAACATCAACGACGCTACAACAATCGCCACTGAGACCAAGGCCTCAAAGCTGTCTTTCCTGACATTTTCGAGACCCCCAGTAGGACCAGTCAAACAAACTCAGGCAACAATCCTTGATAAAATCAGCGTAGAAGGTGGAATAGTAGAATCTTGGCTTGAAAAGCCTCTGCCTGCCGCTGGATTACCTGCCAGAGCGTTTCCTGCTGGCCAAAGACCTACCAGAAGGGCGCATTCGCCATATAAATCCGAAGAACAGGATGAATTGGAACTTTCTCCTGGTGATTTTATCATCGTCAGGTCAGATTCATTGATTTCGAGCTTTCGTGTCTTGAATACTGATTTTAATGCTTTCTTCAGTGAGGACTTTTCCGATGGATGGAGCCGTGGGAGATCTTTGAGGACTGGACAGACTGGCGTTTTTCCGACGTCTTGGGCTGCTTAATAGTGACGTGGCGCTCTAGTATAGTCTAAATAGTGTATCATATTCGTAATATTTGTAAAATCATTGATGAATGTACTGATGGAGCGTAAATCAAGATTAACGTAATCAAAGGGTCTGGCATGTCTCTGGCATTTTGCCTGCACCACCAGGTTTGTCGGAGTCAATACGTAAAGCACTTGTTGGCAGCACAACAAGCAAAAACTGTGCATCCCACGATTCATCGTTAAGGAAGCAGCTTTGATAGGCGCACCGCTTCTTGTCCTTAGACTTGGTTAGACCTCGTCGTTTCCTTTGTCTGCAATCGCTGAAACTGAATCGTTTTTTTATTTTATTTTAGAAAGCTCTCTATAGATGAGCAACTTGGCCACTCGAAGCGCGAACGAAGGCGCCAAGTACAGGCAGCTCTTTGTTGACTTGAGACACATTCTGATAGAGAATCCACTACCACAATCAACCGCAACAGAATCAACCACAAACAACGCAGCTTTAAAATCATCCAACAGTGTACCATATAATCCAACAAAGGCCAGAACTTTTGACAGGAGGAATACACCATTTGTCACAAGACCCATTAATACTCACCCACAACCACCTCCTATCGCTGATGTTGGTCTTCGCACTTTACCAAACGCTACACAGACTGTCACTCCTCCAGGCAAGAACAATCAAATGATTACGGACATGGAATCTTTTTCCTTTGCTGATTTTCATTTAATTTTTAGTGTCTATTCGGTCACAGGAGCCTACTGCTCGAACCTCTATAGTGCCTGAAAAACATGTATATTCACAACCACTACCGCCCCCACCTGCTTCAATGCCTGTACATAAAACAAGCCCTCCTGATGCCACTATACCAAAGCCCCAGGCGAAACCGTCGTTACAGTCGATATCTGCCATAGCAGCACCAGAGACACCAATACAGCAAGGCCCTCCTACAGAACAACCGGTTATCTCAAAGGTCAAAGAGGTCCAGGAAGATCGTATAAAAACGCCTAATATAGTGGAAGAAGAATATCATACTATAGCCATCGCCGATTTGGAAAAACTGATCCGAGAACATTCAGACTCGCTGCAGCGATTCCACACGCTAGGGCCAGATGGAGAGTATCAACGCCACATGATATGGAAGACCTTTGCGAAAGTAGTAAAACAGCCAAAGCAAAGAGCCCTGCTGACCAAGGAAATATGTCTACAAGTCTTGGCTGCTTGTCGGACCCTTCGAGTCGCTGGAATTGAAGACCGAATGAACCAAATTTTAAATATCTGTAACGAGAACGGGTTTAACATCGGTCGACTTGGCTATCATTCGATGTTGGCGGCAATTGCCAGAAGAGGCGACCGTATGTCTACCTGTGACAAGGTCCTGAATGATATGAGTCAGGCCGGCGTCTTCCCCACACAACGAACATATTCACTATATCTCCTGGCATTGATTAATATAAAAGGAATAGCAGAAGGTGAAAAATGGTTGGAGGACGCCGTTGGTCGGGTCGCTATAGCAGTCACTCATCAGGAAGAACGTCCTGCAGTCGCAGATGTTGAAGATCCAGCTGATCTCATCAATGACAATAATAGTGATAGCAGTACTACTCAACCCTCTAATGCTCAGAGTACACGCTCTGATACCTTCAGACGAGATTCGCATGTAGACTATGCACTGTTACATGGATACTATCGGGAACGACGTTATAGACAGGCGATTGAACTGACAGACTCTCTACGAAGCCAGAGCCTCGACCTCCCTGCTGGAATGTATTATATATTGCTGAAAGTTTACATCAGAATGAAGGATTTGAATATGGCCACACAAATTTTTGCTGAGATGCAATCGAAAGGTTTCATCATCAATCGACTCCCTTATGAAGCCATGATACAAGGATGGTTGTCTTTATTAGATCCGAAGAAAGGGCTGACTGTTAAGATTGACGGAATGGCCGACAATCTGCTCCGAAGTAGCGAATTCAGCCATGCTGAAAACAGTCAAACAGTATTAGGTCCTGTCAGCAAAACTGCTTTGAAGGAACAGCATATAGCCCCATCCATTATTGACGGTACTCAAATCAATAATAACAGTAATAGTAACTCCTCCGCTGCTCTGAATATACCAACGGGTACTGATGGTGAAACTTATTGTCTCCAAAAGGGAAGTCAAATCTATCAGGATATGGTAGCCGCCAATATAGAGCCCGGAATCAACACGTATCAGATATTTATGGCAGTACATCTTCGACAACAGCAATATGGTGCCGTGATGGCCCTGTATCGTGACTTGCTCGCTTCAAATCTACATCCGAACGTAGTTGTATACACCAGCGCCATGACGGCTGCTGCAGCTCTACATGACTGGTCTGCAGTAGATAAAATGTTTGATGCAGCGAGACATACCGATGAAGGTTACCTAGACGTCCATATATATACCACTTATATGAGCTCCTTGACCAAGAGTGGTAGGGCAGATCAAGTAGAAAAGTTTTTCGAACAAATGAAGCGAGAGAGGATTGTCCCAACCTTGTATACTTGGGACGCACTGTTGCAATCCAAGTGTGCGATGGGAGATCTGGTATCTGCTCAAAAAATTGTGTCGCAAATAGAATCTCATGGTTGGTCTAAAAATCTCCGGATTCGGAATTCGCTTTTGTATGGTCTCTGTGTCGCTGGTGACTTGAAGGGCGCTGGACAGACCTTTGATCAAATGAGATCCGACGGGCTGACACCAGATGTAACCAGCTATAACATACTCTTATGGGGTCACAATGCGAATGGAGATGTTGAAAGTGGACTGGCGTGGTATTCTCGTCTGATAGCAGATGGTCTCCAGCCGGATGTCGCTACGTTTAATATACTCATAGCTGCAAACGCACATCGTCTAGATGCAGCAGGAGCTATGGATGCCTTCCAGTCTCTAGTATCAAATAATCTAAAACCCGATGTATATTCGTTAGTACCACTCATGGCGGTCCATGCTCGAAGAGGTAATGTCAATCTGGCAAAGGATGGTCTGGCATTGCTCCAACAGCATGAGATATGTGCTACCCCTCCGTTTAACATAATAATGAGCTATCGATCGAGACAAAACGACCTGAAGGCACTTGTAGATGAATATTGTAGGGTAACTCAGGGAGCTCAAGGGTCGGATGCTGTTGCACCAGATATACGAACATTTGATATTCTTGTAAGGGCCTTTGGTATTGCAGGAGATGTGGTAAATGCTCAGTTTTGGTTTGACGAAGCAGCCAAGTTTAATATTGTACCAGATGCCATGTTGTATAACGCATTGCTCTCAGCATACACGAGGGCTGGTGACTTTGAAGGTGCAGGCAGAGTGCATGCACAAATGGCAGAAAATGGAGTACTCTCGTGGGCAGTTACAAACACCTTTAGATCTTCTATTGCTCCATCAATGTCTCAGGAGCTGCAATCATAAATTAAGCCAACAATAGCATTAGAAAGCATACTGCATAGAGTTTTAGTTGATTTATGTATACCATTCATTGTCTTCTCCAATCTACTGTTTATCTTCCATGATCTTAACTACTGATGAGAGCACAGTTACCGCATGGTCGATTTCGTTTCGGGAGATTATGAGTGGTGGAACGAGACGAATGGTATTGTTACCGGCTGTAATCAATAACAAGCCACGTTCTCTAGCCAGATCTACAAAGGCGTTCGAGTCTACCTTCTCTCCTAGCTGAAGACCAATCATCAGCCCTCTTCCTCTAACTTCCGTAATGAGAGGAGTTCCATCTGCTAGAGCCTGTAATTGATTCATCATGTATTTACCAGTCTCTGCAACTCGTTGCAAGAAGGACGGATTATTGATACGAGATATTACGTCTATTGCGACTCGAGTAGCGAATGGACTACCACCGAAAGTCGTTCCATGATCACCAGGTTTGAGCATAGCCGCTACATGTGGAGCGACGATTATAGCACCAGCTGGCAGACCATTAGCCAAGGGTTTGGCCAGTGTTAATATATCGGGAGTGACACCAGAGTGTTCGTGTGCAAAGAATTTGCCGGTTCTGCCTATACCGCACTGTACCTCGTCCATGATGAGCAATGCACCCACTTCATCACATCGTTTCCTAATTGCAGATAAGAAAGAATCGGTACCAAGGAAGATACCACCTTCACCCTGTAGCGGTTCCACAATCACACCACAAGTCTTGTCGTCTATAATTTCAATGGCCTTTGCAGTGTCATTAAATGGAGAGTTTACGAATCCAGGCATGAGTGGAGTAAACGGATTCTGGTATTTGGGATTAGGAGTGGCAGATAATGCGCCCAATGAGCGACCATGGAAGGCGTGGGAGAAGGAGATGACCATATGTTTGCCTTCCTTGACCTTTTGATGTGGCTGCTTGCCCCATTTCCTGGCGAATTTGATTGCACCTACAACGAACATGAGTTGAATTGCTGTGAAGTCTGATTCTTTCAGTCTGGTAACCACCCAACGAACCCGTCACCAGCGAATCCCGAGTTTTCTTCGTTTACATACCTTCATTAGCTTCAGTTCCCGAGTTGCAGAGGAACACCTTGCTTCCGCCATATTCAGATGTGTTAGCCCATTTGCCTCTATTACCCAGAGCTTGAACGAGGAGTTCAGCGAGCTGTCCAGCGTATTCGTTGTGGTATAGATTGCTCAAGTGGATGAGTTTGGTAGCTTGGTCGGCAATTATTTTAGCTAATCGTTCGTCTCCATGGCCTAGAGCATTTACGGCTATTCCCGAGTTGAGATCGAGATATTGTCGTCCTGCCATGTCATATAGATAACAGCCCTTTCCGTGAGAGAAGATGAGATTTGGCCTGCCGTACATTTGAAGGAGATACTTGTTATCATGGGCTATTTTGGCCATTGTAGATGGATGTGTAGCACAATCCAAGTGTGTTGGAGCCTGCAATTGTGAAAAGCGTGTTAAAATGTTGGTGAAAGCAGGAGGTTGAGGGAGAGAGGGCGGATAAGAAAAGGTACTTGCATTATCAGTGGCCTGTTGTGGTGCAAGATTTGGTAGAGCAGACATGCATCTGGTATGTGGGAGCTAAAAGGAAGACATTGCAATCACGGTAAACGACGGTGGACAGAATATAAATCGGATTTTAGTACCAAAAGGCATACCTTTGGTCGTGAAGCCAGAGCCAGAGCACGCTGACACGTTACTAGTCTCTTCATCGTGTTCAGTCTAGATGTTTAATGTTTGCAAAAATGTTTTCAATATGAAAATAGTGATTCACTTCGTTTTGATCCTGAATAGAAAACAGGCATGGCAACTCGCACATGGGAGCAAATGACTCCAAAGCTATCGAGCACAACGTACGTCCTTCTGGATCTTGTCTGTACAAGCTTAAGTCGAACTAGAAACTCAGCTTTTTTTGCAAACTAGGTTAACCACATTGCAGGAGTTTGGGTTTGATCAAACGACCCCAGTACAAGATAAATCCATTCCACTCTTCTTACAGCACAAGGACGTCGTCGTAGAGGTGACCGACCGATGATGAATATTCACTCAAAAACTTCAATCATCAACTAAGAAAACCATGTTCTCGCTCCATTAGGCCGTAACTGGTTCTGGAAAGACGTTGGCATTCCTAATTCCCGTACTAGAAATACTACTGCGACGAGAAACCTGGCTAACCTCTCATCAGGTCGGAGCTATTATCGTGTCCCCAACAAGGTATGCCACGAGCTGCCAACCAGCGCTTCACCTTCCAACATCAGGAATTATGAGCTGAATTCGTTTCCATAGAGAGCTGGCTAAACAGATTCATGCTGTGCTAGTCCCATTCATACAAACATTGCAAGCAACTGAAGGAGGAAAACGTGTCCCTACTTCAGTCTTGCTTGTTGGAGGATCAAGTGTAGAAGACGATGTAGCAAAGCTCAAGACCAGTGGTGCTCACATCCTTGTCGCCACCCCTGGAAGACTCGAAGACATTATGCAAAAGAACATCTTGTTGTTTAAGGAACTGAGCATACTTGTGCTGGATGAAGCTGATAGGTATGTGTGATATGAATGCAATTATGCACGACACGCTTAAACATGATCATGAAACTGATATTGGACTCTCTTTAAACAAGATTGTTGGATATGGGCTTTGAACAAGCCATTACATACATCATATCGAGACTACCCAAACAGAGACGAACTGCTCTATTCTCTGCAACCATGACTGATGCTGTGAATGAGCTAGTCAAAGCTGGCTTAAGAAACCCTGTATCCGTTGTCATCAAACAGCCCAAGATGGACTTGGATCAGAGAACACCAGAATCGTATGTTCCTTAGAATCACGTAATCACTTCACTGTACAATAAGAATTTGCTAAAAATTATATTTATTAGCCTAAACATATATCATATGATCACCACATACGAAGAAAAACTCCCAATCCTGCTCAATTTAATGGCATCAAATCCAAACAAGAAATTCATTATATATTTCGCTACAACTGCTTGTGTCGACTACTTTTACAAAGTAATCACGAGTCTGACAGAGCTAGCATCGACATGGAGTATCGTATCTCTGCATGGGAAGATGGATCCGAAAAGACGAGAAGCCGTCTTTGCTAAATTCAACACCATTACTACGCAAAGTATGCTTTTATGTACAGACGTGGCTGCTAGAGGCTTGGATATCCCAGATATTGATTGGGTCGTTCAGTTTGATCCACCTCAAGATCCAAAAGCATTTGCTCATCGATGTGGAAGAACGGCCAGACAAGGAAAAGAAGGTGCCGCTCTAGCCTTCTTGACAAAGGAGGAGGATGCATATCTAGGTGAATACACATTGTTATCGCTATGCTGAATTGGTCCGCAAATCTCATAACTTGGTGATTCTAGATTTCCTGAGGATACGGAAGATACCCACCTCAGAGTTTGATTCTAGTGTATTGCCCAGAACATACACTACTGCGTCAGTTGCAACATTGCTCAGAAAACTCAATACTCACGACCGTGATATTTATGACAAGGTGAGAAACAGTCTGAAAACACCGTTGCTGAGTACTCCTGTCAATCAAACTTCTCCGTTTCAGAGCATAACGGCATTTGTCAGTTGGATTCGAGCCTACAAAGAGCATCATGCCAATGCCATCTTTCAGTTTCGAAAAGTGGATATTGCAGACCTCGCAACGGCTTTTGGTTTGCTAAGGGTGAGACCTTGTTATATGTAACCGGTCTAATAAGCAGTATTATGTTGGCTAACATTTGAAACATTCGGTAGTTACCGAAAATGCCTGAATTGGCTCAAAAGGATACCTCAAATTTCAAGCCAGCGCAGATCGATGTATGTATGCATCGGAAATAACACCAAGACACCCCAGCTGATCCCATTCTCTCACTCTTCTAGTTGGACTCTATAAACTACAAGGACAAGCTCAGAGAAAAGGCCAGATTGGCCAAACTCGCTGCCAAACGAGCCTCTGCTGCTGCTGCCACACCGCCTGTGCAATTCGATGTCAGGAATAGTAAACCATGGTCTCAACAAACAGCACGTAAAGAAATGAGAGTAGAAAGACGAGAAAAACGAGTCAAGAAACGTGAGGCTATTGCACGTGCTACTAGTACTCCAGTTATTGAGAGTGGTATTGCCACTACTCAGCATACCAGTCAGCAGTCATCAGGACCAAAGGGAAAGAAGAGAGCTGTCGTAGATGAAGGTGAATGGCTCGAGCTTCAAAATGAAGTAAGACTCATGAAAAAGATCAAAAAAGGTCTGATCAAGGAAGATTCTGATATGGATTGATTCCTTTCATGTGATTGTTTTGATTACAACTCACAACCGAACACGACCATGTAAACATGTATACTCCTCTATGCAATGAAAGTTTTTATTGTAGTCGCATGGTTCGTTTTTATATCAATCTCTGTCTATGAGTGTTTGACTTCGTACTTGTCCCATCCCACAGCCTCCATAGTCTTGACTTTACCCAAGACTTCGACTTCTTGCTTCTTCATATACGCTGCCATACGTTCAAGATATATTGGAGCATGAGCTCCAAGAATGCGGACTGCCAATAATCCTGCATTTGTAGAGTTTCCAATAGCTACCGTAGCAACAGGTATTCCCCTCTAAATGTGAGTACAGCGCATGTGAATACATTAAATCAACACCGAATGCTGTGCTACTATTGCTCACCGGCATCTGGACAATGGACAGAAGACCATCTTGTCCATCTAAAACCTTTTGAGCAACGGGTACTCCAATCACAGGCAATGGTGTAAGAGCAGCTACCATTCCTGGTAAGTGAGCAGCACCACCAGCACCCGCAATAATCACTCGTAATCCACGTTCAGCAGCTGTAGAAGCATAGTCGACCATTCGAAGTGGCGTTCGATGAGCCGAAACAATAGTCAGTTCAAAAGGCACACCGAATTCTTGAAGTATCATAGCAGCAGGTTTCATAACTGGAAGATCAGAGTCTGATCCCATTATAATACCTACATCTGGTCGAATCTGGATTGGTCGTTCTGGATCAGCATTGACGGCTGGTGCTGCAGCTCGTAGTATGGTTCGTACTCTATCTACTACTTGAGGCATCGAGTCACCGACTAGATTGATGTGGGCCATTTTACGACCTTTGCGACATTCCTTCTTTCCATAAAAGTGGACTGTAGCTCCGGGTACACCCAAAGCAGCAGCACATGGTAGTAGAGTTTCCTTAAGTCCTTCATCACCAGAGCCTGTACCTATTATATTGATCATGGCAGCAGCTGGCACTTTGAGCTCCGTTGATCCTAACGGCCAACCGAGAATACAACGGAGATGTTGTTCGAATTGCGAAGTGTGACTGGCATCTTGAGTATAATGACCAGAGTTGTGTGGTCGTGGAGCGATTTCGTTGACGACTATATCTCCTGATGGCAATTCAAACATTTCGACACCATATATACCGGCACCTCCTAGAGTACCAATAGTCTGTTCTGCGATTTCCTTTGCCTTTTGCGCTACAAGACCATTTATTTGAGCAGGTGCCCATACTAGGTGGCATATGCTATCTTGTTGTACGGTTTCTACACATGGATAACTGGCGATTTCACCTGTCAAACCACGAGCAACCATGACAGCCAATTCACGAGTGAAGGGTACCCATTTTTCAGCATACAGAGCTCGTCCTTGAGAGGCACCACCACCTAATGACTTTACAGCGGCAGGAATGTCTTCTGGGCTCTTGACAACTGCATTACCACGTCCGTCATAAGCCAAAGTACGTGATTTCAACATGAATGGATAACCGACTTCCACTCCAGCGGCTTTGACACCTTCTACACCACCATCTAGACCTATATCGACGAAAGGAGCAATGGGTATACCGTGTTTTGCCAAGTGTTGTTTTTGCAGCATCTTGTCCTGAATGATCCTGATAGTGGCCGGAGTAGGCTGTACAGGCACTCCTATTTGAGCGACAGCAGCATCTAGAGCATCGCAGTCTACGTGTTCTATCTCTACAGTCAAGATATTGCAGGATTTTGCCAATTCTAAGATTGATGGAGCATCACGAAAATCACCCGTGACGTGTGGAGCCTGACTGACTATAAGAGTAGCTGGAGACAATGCAGCGTCTAGGACCGCGACAGTCACGTTCATACGGTTTGCAACCTCTGCAGTCATCCTTGAAAAGAGAGACAATTTGTCAAGCTTTCACGATCAACAACAGCACAAAGAAGGAGACGATAACGAGCATCAGCATACCTGCCGAGTTGTCCACCACCTAGAATGCCTACAACAATCTTGCTTCCGTCCATTTTAGGTAGACTATTCTGAGAAAGATTATTTTTGAAGTCCCGACGAGCTTTGTGCAAGAATTTTTTTTGAACATTTTGTCAAGGCGAGATCACGAAATCCGAATACGGCAACACCTCTAGTAAATAAATTCAGTTCGCGATTTCGTGGTTTCGCAGATTGATCAAAGATCAAAGGCTAATCATCACGTCGGAAGCAGCTTATGTCCAAAATGATAATTCATTAAAGTTATAAAGCGACACCGTATGTATCAAAGTTACGTAAAATTATACCAATTTCTAGATGTATTTTTCCCATAGTGGCAGTTGATAGACGAAATCTGTCTGTTGGAGTGTAGACCACGTGCAAGTTCTTTAAGTGTGTTGATGATCCAGTAAAGTATGCTAAAATAGGTGAATAAATCAGTTACAGATATAGTTGCAGCCAAATCTACAGAGCCCTTACACCAGATCTGCTCCGACATGGTTCCTAGAGGTCTCCACGTTTGAACCTCCAGCTCATGCATTCCTGGTGACGTTGGTACATGCACAAATCCATATCCGTCTAGATGAAGATTGTTAGGAAGTCACAATCAAGTGGTTGGAGTAGGTAGTTCCTACATAATTCATTCCGTCCAGTTGGGTCTTGCCGAAATACTTGAAAGTGTAACTTTGGCCAACCCTGTATCGTCTTTGTAGCATAGTGGACATCTACATTTGGTATGGCATTAGATATGTGGTTGTCTAATACGTTGGTCGAATGGATCTACCGATAGGGTGACTCCATACAGTCGTTTTGCGATCCTAGATGAAATGAGGGATTTTTGTTGATTCAAGTTGATCTTGATGGATTTGAGCAGTTTGGAGACGTACAGATGGTATATCCACTTGAGTCTGGCCGGAATCGTCGCCTTCCAGTAGCCTCCATCCGTCGCCTGCGACAATGCTCCATTTGCAAGTTAATTCAGGTGCTGGGAATCCACTGGCTGATTGCAATGTGCCAATGATGTGGACTTCTGCCATTGATAGATGTGATGCTCGACAATGAGAAATAAAAACAAGTTAGAATGTCCTACTAGGCCAGCTACTAGGGTATGTCGCTGTTCAGTGTGATTGTGTTGACTGTCCGGTTGGTGACTTTGACTTCGCCTTGTGAAAAGAGAGAGAGAGAGAGCCAAAGAATCAATCTAATCTCACGATCGCAGTACATTGATCTTGTGTCAGATAAATTGTGAACAAGAGCCAAAACCGTCAAGAAATTCCTTGTAAGTGCTTCTCTTGATCCATGGCGTTTAATCGTACAGTTAGCCGTGAAACCCCCGTTCGCGAGTAACTTATCATTTCTTTATTTACATAACACTAGAAGAATGCTCCCTAGGACTAGAATTCCGCGCCCATTCCCTCAAACCACCGACATTAACAATCTCGCAAGAGATTTTCGTCTCAATGACTTGAACGTCGAAAGGCTCCCAAACGGGCGAGTTAGAGTATCCGATAGACCAAGACCCAATACAGATCACCAATGGAACGACCCACTCCAACATCAAGATCTACCACAACCATCATCAACAACCAGTCATCAATCCCAACCACCCGTGGCAATGCCTCCTGCATCAAAACCAGCAGTCGCTCTCACAAGGAAGTCGACTCACTCGACTTACACGTATATCCCACCTGCGGCTGCAAAATACATACTATGGGATTCAACACCAACGGCAACTCCTCAAATTGTAGCTCCTCATCATCTAATACCAAAGCAAGTTAGACTACATATGCCTGCTGCAAAAGCTTTGGCGGCCTACCTGAAACGACATGCTTCAAAAGGTTTTCTACTCGGCAGAAACTTGCCTGACAGAGGAGGAATCATTGCTGACAGGTTTGATCCCGGCCGATTAGAAGGAGGTCCTACCGTGGTAATAAAAGGAGATGTCGCAATTCGAGTGACTTCTTTGGATAATGTAGACGAAACTCTGTTACAGGCACGTTCTAGAAGGGACACTGTTTCATTTAATCCGTCGCTCGCTATTCACAAAGAAGAAGCAGCCGTGCCAATATAACTTTGATAGCCTTGAATAATAATCGCCTTTGTTTTTAGGAAGGATACAATTGGTTTACTTCGGATGACTCTGGAGATGTAGATCTTAGCAAAGGAATGCCCTGTTTCGTCGTTTCCACTATGGTTGACGATGAATTGACGCTCGAATGTAAATTGCTCTGCTCTGCATTGCGTATTCTCTCTCGTTTGTCCTAACAACTCCGATTTTCGGTAATTTTAGACAAACAAGTTTGCCCTGCAGTTACTATAAGATACATTCCGATTGCGCCTTTGCGTTTGGTGCCAGGAACTCTTACTTCTGATTTGGTTAAGAGACAAGATTCTTCAGAGCCCTTCCGCATGGGCTATATAACTATCGACAATGCTCGCATGATATTACCCATCGTATCATCAGATCCCATGAAGACTGAATTACCATTAGCAGGAATATGGATCAAGAACGTCATCACCATCAAAGATCCCCGTGTCTATTTGGCTTGTACCAAGTTTGCCCAATATAGCAATAACCGACTTGGACGAATGTCAATATCATCCATCCTAGTAGCGGTGTTTCCCAGTGATGGACATGAAGAAGCTGCTTCCACGACCTTTTACGAGTGCCATGTCGAATTCAGAGAAGAACAGTCTTGTATGTTCAATGGTCGCGCCTGTATCTCATTCGAAAGCGACAATACTGTTGCATGTTCGATGGATGTCAAAGAGGTACCGATGACGGACGACTCATGGCGATCTTCCATTGAAAAGTTTTATAAAATGTGAGCTTGTGTCAAGTCCAATTTTAATTGCAGATGATAGTCTCAAACGTTGCATTCTTAGAAAACTGGACATATCTGACCCCGAGCCTGTAATAAATGCCGGAGACTCATTGCCAGAAGCAACGGATAAGATGAATGAACCAGTCGCAGTACCAGAGAACGTGGGGCCATCGGAATCTAATGCTTTACCCCTCGACGACTCAACCAAGACACTCATACCGCCAACACCGGAACCAATATCGGTGCCCGAGCACTCCAAAAATGATGGTATAGTGGAGTCGACAAGCTCTGGCAGTGTATCGACAACAGCACCTATGGACTCAGGTTACATGCTCCTCCAGCAGCAGCAGCACCTCTGGATGTCGTTGCTACAACATCAAATAGATACACTGCGAGCTCAGTTTGTTGGAAGTGCTTCTATTGCACAAATGCCATCGCCGCCCTTTGTCCCATACATGTCAAATCCTATAAATACGTCATCATCAATACCACCACCAACCAACAACACAGCAGATTGCACGACTCTACCCGTAGTAATAAGGAAATCCCCTCAACAAGTATCAACATCGTGTCAGACTGTATTGTTAGGTGCACCACAGACAGAAGGTGTTGACGGTAATAAACCGGAACTAGTAGCGAATGACACGAATGAAATACGCACCAAGTCAGTAGCTACCAATACCACATTTATAGCTACCGAGATTAGAAGGTGCTCTGTAGCCACAAATACGTCTTGGATTGAAGATACTCCACTCGAAGATAAAAAGCCAGAAAAATCCATGCCATCCTTGTCATTAGCTGATGCTTCCGTATTAAATAGAGATATACGCCAGCAACACGAATATGAAGTCGCTACAGATACTGGGAGTAACTACCATCCCCTCTTCAAGTATTCACCTATCGAGCCAGATGAGCTACCGTCACTCGGTGGAATGGTCGGTTTGGACCATGCTGCAGATGATGGCATCGCGTATGCAAGTGGTATAAAAGAAACCAGTAGCATCATCAAAGAGGGGACTGGTGTCAAGAAGGGTTGGGAAGGCAGTTTGTCGAGAATCGATATACATGACGACGAACCAAACTCGTTGGATCTGTCGCCAATAGCAACAGGAGTAGCCACCGATAAAACAGAAGAGCTGCGAGACGAAGGACCTGTAGAGATTATCGCACGACTAGCCAAGAACCCTGAACAGAGTTTCATTTTTGTGCCGCCAAAGGAGGATGAATCCAAGGAAGGTAGTAGTGATAGTGACGACTGTGCTGGACTGTTTTTCAATGCTTCCAATGACTCTAGTATGGAGAAACACGTCGCGAACGTGTCTGATGAAACATCTGCAGAAGCCTTCTCATTATCGACACTACAATATTTGAACAAGTATAATTTACGGTGATCAAGATATCATGAGTAATATATTGAATGCTATGTCAATATTCGACGCGATGTGTGTTTATATATGTGCGGAGTTTCAACTCGGAACGCTCAATTTTTATGAAGCTCGTTCCTGCAAGCCTTAACTGCAGGATAGTAGTTGCGTTACGCTGCACCAAGTTTCCATCATCGGCTTATACACGTACTAGTCGTTTGCATCTTGCACCCCAAATCGTCAAAGTACAACATCAAACACGAGGAATCCAAGCACCACGGACAGTCGAAGCTCTCGAAGTTTCAGCATTACGAGCTCTTTTTGATTTTGCTGACGTACAAGGAATCGCTGTAAAGACCCACAACATGACTAAAGCCACAATAATTGATGGCAAAGTCATCGCAGAGTAAGTGTGTCATTGATAGACAATTTAGTACTGGTGGAGGAGAATCCAATTTTATTTCATATTCTGTTACGTAGGCGCTTTCAGTATGCTAATTGTGTTATCCACTTATTACAGTGCTCTTCGGGAAGGGCTTCAAATAGAAGTCGAAGAAATGGGACTAAAGCACCACGGCTACAAGCCTCATCTTGTCGTTATACAGGTCGGTGCTCGTGAAGATTCGAGCATCTACGTGAGGATGAAGAATCAGGCTGCCAGCAAGGTTTGTTCGTGGAGTGATTTTGCAGTTTGTGTTGCAACGTCAATAAATATTTATTAAGAGCTTGTTGTAGTGTGGCATGAAATTCACGCATAGGAGCTTGCCAGAAACAGTTACACAATCAGAGGTATTGAAGGAAAATTCATATCGCCGACTTGGACGCTTTGTGACGTGAAATGGTCTGACCTTTTTCTTGGTTTAGCTCTTGTCGTTGATTCACTCCTTCAATCAAGACCCAACGGTACACGGTGTCATTGTACAGTCTCCTATACAATGTACAACTGGCGCTGAAGAAAGAATTGTCATGGAGGCCATAGATCCTAGAAAGGACGTCGATGGGTATGAAGTGTCAGCTGCAGCCCTTTTTTTGGCCCTGTCCTTACCATTTATCGCGTCATCTAGTCTTCATTCTGCAAACATTGGTCAACTCGCAAAACGTGAAACCGAGCCGCTGTTTCGTCCTTGTACGCCCAAGGGTATTATGAAGCTTATTGAGAGTACTGGCGTAAAAATATCTGGAAAACGAGCAGTGGTTGTGGGTCGAAGCAACATTGTGGTAAGCTACACGATTCGCAGTGTGGCTTTAGTTTCATGAAATCATGACCAAACCCAAACTTATCGTGTAGGGAATGCCAATTGCACATATGCTACAAGCCGAAAACGCCACCGTCACTCTCTGTCATTCAAAAACAGAAAACCTGGAAGAAATCGTCAAAACTGCCGACATTCTAGTAGCAGCAGTAGGCAAGGCCAATCTGATTCAAGGATCATGGATTAAACCAGGTGCCATAGTCATTGATGTTGGCACCAATGCTGTTCCAGACTCAACCAAAAAGAGCGGTATCAAATGGGTCGGTGACGTTGAATTTAGTACAGCTTCAGCTGTAGCATCAGCCATCACTCCTGTACCTGGAGGTGTTGGACCTATGACCGTCGCCATGCTACTAGAAAACACGTTTTTGAGTGCTCAGCGCTTTGTACAAGGCTTCAAATCTCCTATGGAGTATCTATCACTCGATCTCAAGGTACCCGTACCAAGGTATGCGCCTTTTCATTGTAGTAAATTGTATTGATATTGATGAAGTTTCGGTTTTTAGTGATATCGAAATTGCATCTGCTCAAACTCCAAAACCTATTAAACGAGTCGCTGAAGAGCTAGGTCTTTTTGAAAGTGAAGTATGTGTCATTCTTGTGGTTTCAGAAGGAATGCATATTGTCAACACATCTAATATCATCCAAACCCTCCAAACCAGTATGAGCTCTATGGTCAAAGCAAAGCTAAGGTTGGACTGTCTGTATTACAGCGTTTGAGTCACCGTCGAGATGGAAATTATGTAGTAGTCGCTGGAATTACCCCAACACCACTGGGTGAAGGAAAGTCTACAACAACCGTAGGCTTGTGTCAAGCCCTTGGTGCTCATTTGAAACGAACTGCCTTTGCTTGTGTACGTCAACCATCGCAAGGCCCCACTTTTGGTATCAAAGGTGGTGCAGCTGGTGGTGGTTACTCCCAAATCATTCCTATGGACGAATTCAATTTGCATCTGACTGGTGACATTCATGCTGTTGCAGCTGCCAATAACCTGCTAGCTGCAGCCATTGACGCACGCATGTTCCACGAAAAGACGCAGTCAAATGAGGTCAGTGAGGCAGTTCTCAGATTTTTTCCCACACTAGAAAATTCTTGGTTTGAATCCAATTTTGCTTCTGTCACATTAGGCTTTATTCAATCGATTGTGTCCAGCCAAGAGAGGCGTTAGAAAATTCGCTCCAGTCATGTTGAAGAGACTGGCCAAGTTGGGCATTGAGAAAACCAACCCAGATGATTTGACTCCTGAAGAACGAGGTCGCTGGGCCAGATTGGATATAGATCCATCCACAATCACTTGGCAACGCGTAGTCGATGTAAATGACCGTTTCCTTCGTCGTATCGAGATTGGTCGAGGCAAAGAAGAAAAGGGCCATGAACGTGAGACTGGATATGATATAGCAGTTGCTAGTGAGGTTATGGCTGTTTTGGCATTGACGACTAGTGTGGCTGATATGCGAGAACGTCTGGGTCGAATGGTTGTTGCTAGCTCTCGAGCTGGTGATCCCGTGACTGCAGATGATATTGGTATTGGAGGTGCCTTGACGGTGTTGATGAAGGATGCCATCAAGCCAAACTTGATGCAAACGTTAGAGGTATGTGTGGGGATGTCTTCACTAATTGTCGTCACGATTGTTCTGCAGCTCAGGTGGTTTCTTTACTTATCAGGGAACACCCGTATTTGTGCATGCTGGACCATTTGCCAATATTGCTCATGGGAATTCGTCTATATTGGCAGATCGTATCGCTTTGAAGTTGGCTGGTACCGAAGATAATATAGAAGACAAGCCTGGATTTGTAGTTACTGAAGCAGGCTTTGGTGCTGATATTGGTATGGAAAAGTTCTTTGATATCAAGTGTCGATATTCTGGACTGGTTCCGAACGCAGTAGTTCTTGTTGCTACTGTCAAGGCTCTCAAGATGCATGGAGGTGGACCTGATGTAAGATCGTTGCTGTTCTCTTCTTGCCATCATTACAATTGCAGTGACTCTAACAGCTAGCTTTGGCATAGGTTGTACCAGGCAAACCATTACCTGAAGAATATTCCAAAGAGAATCTGCCATTGTTGCAAGCTGGATGTGGAAACATGGTGAAACATATTCAAAATGCTCGCAAGTTTGGAGTACCAGTCTTAGTAGCCATCAATCAATTCAGTTCTGATACTCCAGCAGAGTGGGAGTTGATTCAATCTGAAGCAATTAAAGCTGGTGCTTTCGCTGCTTGCTTATGTGCTCATTGGGCATTAGGTGGTGCTGGTGCGGTCGATTTGGCAAACAAGCTGGTCGAAGCATGTGATGGTCATAAGGCTCAGGATAACTTCCGATTCCTGTATGACCTGAACTTGCCCATAGAAGACAAGATCCGAACAATTGCTCGAGAAATGTATGGGGCAGCCGATATTGAAATACTAGAAGAAGCACGACGTAAGATCGATATGTATACAGCTCAGGGATTCTCTGGTCTACCAATTTGTATGGCCAAAACCCACTTATCTCTCTCGCATGACCCAAAGTTGAAAGGCGTCCCCACTGGATTTGTCGTTCCAGTACGTGATATTCGTGCCAGTGTTGGTGCTGGTTTCCTGTATCCATTACTCGGAACGATGAGTACTATGCCAGGACTCCCAACAGTAAGTTGTCGTTTAATAAGGTTGCATCATGGAACAGGCGATTTGGACTAACGACCTACCGAACCATAGCGCCCATGCTTTTACGACGTTGATCTCGACCCAGAAACGGGTACAGTACACGGTCTATTCTGAAAATAATAATGTTCGCCATAAAAATAAATTGCGTCAATCCACTATTCTTCAAAACTGTTTCACCTACATCAGTCCTGGTACTTGTCCGCAGCAAGACCACATGCAACGTCACGTATGTAGCAGATCTCAAGCTGGCTTTAGAGTCTTGGGGTTCGCCTCTGCTGCTGCCACCAAGGGCTGGGTTACAAGATTCCAATCGTATAATACAATTGGAACACTTCCACAGGCAAATTTTGGATCTAGTGGTCTCCCAACAATGGAACAAGTGCATCAGTTTGAAAAGAATGGATTCGTTACTGTACAAAATGTGTTTGATTCAACATTTTGTCAAAACGTGAATGGAGCTGTAGACAAGGTTTTGGCATGGAGAGGGTTGCCCAATAGCAAAATGAAGCTAATCTTTCGTGAACTAGTGCTTTTTGGGTGAATTTGAAACCGCTGACTACCCTGATGAATGGTATTATCGAGAAGGGATGACCTTGCCTTATGTGACTCGTGAGATATGTAATGGGTGGAAGTATGTGCCTGATAGAGTAGATTCATTGGTGCTAGATCGCTCGCTTACCTTCAAACGTTGCAGATCAAACAGAACAATCGCCAAGCTGGTCCTGAACGAAGCAATTGGGAAGTTCGCCAGTACTCTTATGAAATGGGACGGAACAAGGTGAGATTTTTTGTCTAGTTTAGAAGTTTGGAATACCAATTCTTGTAATTTTTCTAGGATTGGCAGCGACTCGATATGGCTGAAACCAGGCGCGAGTGCCGGAACGCCAGGCAAAGAAATAGCATACCATGTAGATGATCAATACATGCAAGTAGAAACTCTCTCATCTTCATTGATCCTGTCTAATGCATTTCATCAAAATTAGACGATTTCCATTGATAACTTGTTGGGTCGCATTAACTGATGTTGGTTTGGACAATGGAACTCTGGAATATGTAAAGGGAAGTCATAAATGGACGAAACGTGTAGAGCTAGCCGCTTCAGAGTTCCACGCTCCAAATCACGATTTCAGGTCTAGCATGGAGAAAGCTGCACTGGCGAATGGTGTGTCATTGGAACAAATACCATCCCTCCTACACAAAGTTACACTACCAGCTGGGTCCCTATCATTTCATCATGGAGGTGTGTGCTCCTTTTAAATTGGCCTTTAAACCTTGAATCTGAATTTTGGCCTGTTTGTTAGGCATGTGGCATGGAAGTGGCAAGAACATCACGCCCAACTTTCGAAGGAGCATTGGCCTCCATCTGATACCTTCAAACTCGACTTTCAGTACAGAGCCATCTGGTTACATTTTCGGCCGGTATAAAAAACTTGGAAGCTTAGACATGGACGAGGTACGCGTATGCTTTCCTGGAAATTTCAAAGTCCAGACTAAACGATTGACATAGGCATTCTTCCCTGTTACATGGACGAAAACAGGAGGTCGCAGCAAACACTTGGAAGAATATTTGAATGTCTAAATTTATTTTTCAACACTGATACAAACACTAGAACTACAAAACAGCTACCGTGCGGGTGCTCGCCTCAAAGCCGTAGAAGGTTTCGGCATTCTTTGTCAGGAGTTTGTTCAGGACGTCGGGAGGTAGGTCGTATTTATCCCAAGCTCGAACTTCAGTGTAAACTATCCAATTGAGGAAATGGTTAGCCAGACACGATTGAAACAACTAAGCCATTCTGTTGCTTACGCGTATGTGGAATGTTGGGGAAATCTGATCCGTACATAACTAGTACGACACTGTTAGTATCCAAGAGGAAAACAGGAGGCAAGCTGCATCGTGCTTCTTACTCTGATTTGAACTAGCAAGGATCCCTCTTCGGATTGTTTCCCGAATGGACACACTATCATTCAGTTGCCCCAAATAGTCCGAATGAGTATTAGCAGTGTCTAAGTACAGATTTTCGAATCGTTGAAGCAGAGCAAAATACTCGCTCTCTTCATCGGAGCCAAGATGCGGAATGCATAATCTCAGCTGTGGGTGCCGTTTCATTACATCCTCTATGTACCGATAGCTGCACAGATCGTCAGAATCCTGTGCGTGTCCTGGGGAATTCGGTGCACGGCCAGCGTGAAAGAGGATGCTCTTCCCTTCACGTGTGAGATTCGATGTTAGCGTACGATGGAAGAGGCACACTCAAACTTCTCTACGACCAAACCACCTCACCATGTTTGATGCAAGTTTCATAAATTTCGTCACATTTCGGATCGTTTGGCCTCACCACCTATTGGAAGAGGGGATGATGGTGTCAAGAGCCAAACCAAACAACCAAACTGGGCAAGTTCCTTCTCACCTGAACATGAGCATGAAGTTTGACGCCTGTTATCTCTCGTCGACTAAAAGCCCTCTCCAATACTTTGGTAGCACCTGCTTCTCCAGGAAGCACCGTTGACAGACCAACACAAGAGCCTGGACCATGCTTGGAGTTGCAAAAGCGTGCCGCATCAGCACAATACTCGTTCAGCGAATCCGATATACCAGGTTTATGAGAGTACACCATAACAACTTGTCTCTTGAATCCTATAATTGGAAGTACAGCGGTTACTAAACCGGCTCATTGATTAAGGACGGTCGAGGCAACCAAATGGTCTTGCCATGTTGTAACAGGTAGTCAACCGGCGACCCCTTGTACAGAATTGGCCAGTAGTGTTGATCATAAAAGCGATGGACAGCTGCAAAAAGCTTTTCCGGGAAGATATGTACGTGTGCGTCTAAGTACAAATATCATGAAATCATGGGAAACACTAAACACCGTCAAGTCAGGTCTTTAGAGAGTCAATTCGGCCAACCTGTAATTTCACCCAGTCGTTCTGGTATAGAGCTCCACGGATCCGTAGTAGATTTTGGTGCATCGCGTCTAACCTATGACACAGGCTTGGAGTGAGTGACATTCCAGCAAAAAAGTACAACTAGTACAAATTACATGAAATTTGCGACTCATATCGATTCAAAGACAGGATCCTTGTACTGTGCCAGCACTTGATTCCTTCGCGTCACTCTTTATATACTGTTTGCGAAAATCCAAACTCAAAAAGTGAGATCTGGGACCACGAAACCCGACGGTCGCTGACATGTTGATAAGTGATGGACTGGCTGTCATAGCATATTACGCGTTGGCAGTGGTGGTCTGTGCCCGGATATGTCCAAATTTCTCGCAAATTGAAATCACGAAACGAATTGTGTATGCAAACGAACAAGACTTTCATCTAGCAATACGAAGCACCGCAGGGACGAATATAAAGGTATCATCTCAAAAGTTATTGAATCTCGTTGCCAAGTCCATTAGTCCGAGCCCATTTTCACCAACTTCATCTTTTTTTCCGTTCTAGATCACGACAACCAAAGCTCCAGCTTGCAGCGGTTTGACGTTAACCGCGTGGGCATATAATGTCTCAGACGCATGTAAAGAGGCCATCTGCTCCTAGTAAAGCTCAAAACGCCAAGTCTGTTGACCAGCATGTGCTAAAATCAAAAACCAAGGGCATCAATAGAGCTGCTATTGCTAGAGAGAGCGCAGAGCAACGGATACTGGACATATTTAGTGAAGCATTCAAGTCATATCTAAACGATCCCGAGTTTGATACGAAACTGAAATCCATAAAAGCACACTTCTTCAACCGTGAATACCTCGAAATATTCACTGATCCAACTTTGTTGAATGTGTATAGCGCATCTTATGCTCCTCATAGAGCTTTATTGTAAGTGATAGCATTCTGTTTTTCCTATGGGCAAGTCGTCTGGCTAACAGTATTATTGCAGGTTTTACGACCTGTTCAAGAAGCAACCAGAACTGATAACATCCTTGTTGGATAATGGAGAGGTATTCTGCCTAGGAGCTGGCACTGGAGCTGAACTTGTAGGAATAATCGCGGCTTTGCTCCCATCGCTACCAACATCACCACTAATAGAGCCCACAACCAATAATACCCAACCAGCGTTGATTCACATTCAGGACATGGCCGACTACTCGCAACCAATATCTGAGCTGAAGAAGGCAATCAAACTTACATGGCCGGTTGTCGAACCATGCATCGACATCCAGTTTAGTGTAAATGACGTGGCAGTAGCCAATCCAGCTATTGACGAGTATATCACGAAATACGTGAGCCGATCAAATATCATAACCACTTTCTTCATTTTGAACGAACTCCTTCAAGCAGACAAACCTGGATTTGTGAGGCTCGTAGGTAGAATAGTGAGAGCAATGAGACCCTTGTCTATTTGGGTCATTATAGATAGCGCAGGTAGCTTCTCGTCGCATGCAGTGGGAGGGACAACAGGAGAGAAACGAGAATACATGGCTTATCAGTTCTTGGATATGCTAGACGGCCTCGAGATTGTAGCAAAGGAAGAGTCATGCTGGTATAGATTGCCAGCCGGTCTAAGCTATCCTTTACCGTTACAAAATTCTCGCTACTACTATCGAGTCTTTCGGAGAATTTGAAATTGATCTTCATAGATGAATATGGCTTGTATATAGATCACAAAGTCAAGCGTCAACGATAAATAATGTAATTTGGTAATTTAGTATATTGAAAAGGAAAAGAAATAGAGACAGTAAATACAAGACAACAAGCAGCGACAGACTAGAATCAAGCTTCATAAGTAGGCAAGAGGCTTTGTTCCTCTTCCGCGACATCCTTGGCAGCTTCTACTTCTTTAGCGTTGGATTCATTCTTGCAGCTTTTCTTGCAGCACTTGAAGGCACTGCACTTCTTCATCGTGCATTTACGTAGACAGCATTCCCAGATACCAATGATAACCGCTACATGGAAGACGACTCCGGCTGCGAAGGCAGCGACGTGGAGAGCAGAAGGAGGGCCTACACAAACCGAAGCGAATGTGAGTTGGACGATCCAGGACATCCGGGTGAGAACGCACGTACCGTGCATATGATGGCCATGATGTCCTTCATGTTGTCCCTCCTGCTGACCACCTTTGTGAAAGAGTTTGTCAAAGAATTTACGGCCACAAGGCTTCTTGACAGGATGAGGGAATTCAGCGTCAGTTTTCGCTTCAGCAAGTCTAAGTTTATCGTGTGAGTTGGGTCAGAATCCAATGTTTGTCAAATGTTTACCAAATCACTTGAATAACTTGCGTTGTGATAGCAATAGAGAGGTCTGCGTCTTCGTCCAAGGTGTCAGAGTCAGAGCCAGCCCATAGCTTTGGCTTAATTCCTCCCTTTCTATGTTCAAATTTGCTTCCTTCGGATTCAACATGAATTGCGAGAGCCACTGCAACGAGGAGAGCCAAGACGGTGAAGAGAGCCAATAGCTTCATTTTCAGATGGTGAGCGATGTGATATGTCTTATTGTAGTCTGTTTGTCTTGATTGAGAAGGTTTGGGTGTGCTGTTGTTGTTGTTGTTTGTTGACAGAAGCTCGCCTTGGCGACCCGTCGTGAATCAGATGTATGGGTGAACTCTCGAAAATGAGAAAATCACCATGAATGCTCGATTCAATCATTGAATTTATTGTTCGCAAAGTGAATTGTCAACTGACGATTCCTGTTTCATAAACATTTGATTTAGAACGGGTTGGAGGGTTTGCTTAGCTCTTTAGCTATTAATGGCATCAATACCCTGTCCAAAACCGCTTTCTCTTATGCTAGCACATATGCCGTCAAGCATCTGGGATCGGAGCTCAACAAGATGCTTACCAAAGACAAGGAGATAATAACTACTGAGAATGCTACACCCACGGTCGATGTATCAAAGCTCAAGAGATATCAGCATCAGCTAGAAATGAAGCTGCAAATCGTTACTCCTGCTATTGAAGTCGCGGAATTGATGGGTAAGTCACTCGCAATATCAACTGAAAAGCACACATCTATGTTGTCTTGGAAATTGTTCGTGTCGTTGTCAATGCCTGATGTCAATCCTTCCAATACATTCAGCTGTGAAAGGAAATGCGATTCTCGAACCACTCGTTGCTCAATCAAAGGAAATAATAACCACCCTTGAGAAAATGGACTTGGAAGGAATGGATCAAATTACAGCCTGCTCCTTCTTCGAATCAATCATAGAAGATCTCAATGACCTCGTAAATATGCTAAATTTGGCATTTGCCGTCATCCACACTACATCCACAAGAGCAACCATAGCCATATCGCCAAGCACCCTCATTCGAGCTGGCCAAACGATATCAAAAGCTCAAGCGGTGGATACGTCATCACTTGTATCGATCTTCCTGGCCTCCAAAATGGGTATACAATTTGCCTAATAGTCTCAATCGTTTGGATTCTCACTGTTCAAGTTCTGATGCCTGACCCATTTCTAGTGTACTACTCTCTGCTCGAAGGATCAGTACGAAAGTCTGGATATAATTGGACGTGGAAGGAAGAATTCGCTCTTAGTGATGTAGAGCTAGTCCACGCTGAATCCAATCAGTTTCCTTATGAACTCCGACTTCGGGAGTCATTCGACGACGGCCGATATCATGAAGGGTCTGAACGATCGAAATCGATTCCGCTGAATAATGTTGAATCGCTGTTCTGTAAGGAAAAGGAAGTTCCAACTTATTTTGTCTCTTAACTTACCATATGTCTTCAAATCAGTTGCACCATCTGGACAGCTCTTGAATATTGAGGCCATGTCTTCTCCAGTACTAGTAGTAAAGCTTGCAGGAGAAGACGGCCGTCTACAGAAAGTCTTGGGAACGCCGAGCCCAAAGGCCCCGATAGAATGGATTGCTATAGGACTTGCCGATGAATCAGTGACTGCAGAATCCGATTCTGAGGATTCAATCAAAGACGATGACGAAAATGAAGTCGTTGCTACCAACAAAACTATGGGGCACATCGACTGTGTTCTCAGACTCGCTCTAGCGGAAACTCGTGAAGGAAAACCAGTTTCTGAGCTGAGCGACGAGATCTTAAAGTGAGTCGTCAGGTATTATTCAAATGTTGAAGCAGGAAGACTCACCCAACACCACAAACGATCTTCTTCTTACTCTAGTCTGTATCTCTGTGGAGAGAACTCTGCAACCACACCCGCTGCTCCTCTTCATTATTCCAAGCCAAAGACGCCAACTTTAGCATTGACGACGGCTTCCTCTCCAGCTGTTCGTAGTATGGCTGACCGCATGGCATCATTAAAACCAAAGTAAAAGAAAACGATTGTATCTGCTCAGAAATCCTCATATTGCATTAATATAAAGTCGATTCAGGAAAGAGTTGTCAAGTGCAGTAGACGCGGTTCTTGTGCACTGTTTGCTCTTTGAGTTGTCGAGGATTGCGGCACGGGTTCGTTCGATTTGTTGCTGTGGATCATTAATCATTAGATCCTTTCACATGAAGCCTGCGCAACACAACCAACGAATGGATAGAGAATAAATAGGTATATTGAAGGCAGTCATACGAATGTAAAATCTCTGCCTTTAATTACTGACACTACGGCCACTCTCGAGGATGTCGACACCCTTAAAAATTGAGGTTGTCAACCCATTTGCAACGCCCTCTACATTGAGGAAGGGGGACTACATGAAAGATATTGATGAGCTCGAAGACCTATTTCAATGTACTCTTGGTATGGCGGCTCGCAGGCTTGCATCAGAGAACCTGCTTGAACATTTCTTTGCTCCAACTTACTTGAAGTTTAGACCATCAATCGCGAAAACCTCGATCTAACACGTAATGACGTATATTTATAGTAACGACTGAGGTTCAACGATTACTCACGTTGCTACAGGCCGACCAAAGACTACCAACATACATAAAATCATTTCACAGCAAGTACGCAAAGGCAGCGAGAGATGCTGCTCGTGGAATTGGCCTTCAAGTCGAATCATTTGTTATGGTGAACGAGTTATTAAGTATCCTGGGGAAATTGGAATCAGACATGACACCAAGAATCTCCCCATCAAGACGAGTGTCTCCTCAACACGATTTGAGAGCCTTTTTGGAACACTCTGATGCTACTGGTCGTGACGATGAAGACGAGGAAAGCCCTAGATCCGTTAGGAGACGTCTCTTCGACGGTGAAATAGAGCCCATGGTACCACTGTCGACCTTCACATTCCAACCTGTGAGTAAACCACTACCTTATGCACCTATATCACCTATATCATCGCAAGCCTCTTCATTGCAACGACCTCGTAATGAAATTGCAATCTCCACGAATGTCAACACTTCCATATCTCCATTGTCGCAAGCCTCGTCATCTCTCCCTACTCATAATCCAACAACAAACTCTAAAGATATCAACCATGTAATTACACCAGTACCAAATAATCCAGGTCCTTCTGTGGCAGCATCGCCGATTATAGATGTCCCATTGCAGGACGCACCAACCAAAATATTCGATATTTTGATTAAATTGCCGTTTCCTACCGTATACGAAGTTGCTAGACACGTGAAACCCCTCGGATATCTAGATTACGATGACATCAATGATAGTTTGTGGGCAGAACTATCAGTCTCGAAGGATTGTCAGTCAGTCTGTAAGTTGCTACAAAAATTAGCAGTTCAATTAAATCGTAATCATGTCGAAGCACCGATTGGATCTCCACTACAAGGATATGCATTGCGCTTTTCAGCCAAGGTACAAACCGTTATACCCAATAAGAGGTATCAGTTGACATTAGCACCTCCGAGATGGTCATCCAGTCATAGGTTCGCAAGAAGGTTTACGCCTGAACGGTTCCTATCTGTAAATGTTGGATCAATGTCAAAGAACTCTATGTCGGCCTTTAAAACTTTTAGTTTGTTTGGTAGAAGATATTCCTTCTTGCACTATAAACCTGTAATGGGAGCTACAGCGAGTGAGAAGAGTGGTGTTTATTTTGCTGAAAGTGGAAATGGCCTTGAGTCTATCACAGTACCCCAATTACTCGAATGGCATATACCATCTATAAATTCCGAAATGTCGTTGACCAAATATGCCGCAAGAATCGATTTGGCATTTTCAGGAACAACTGCTATATCTATCATTGATGATGTCCGCAATCTGGATGATGTTTACTCACCATCGGGAGAGTTAATGACTGATGGATGTGGTGAGAAACTGTTTTAGTGACTCAATATCCTTGCGGTTGCGAAAGATTTGCTGACATATATGTTCCAATAAACCAAAATCTATCATCATACAGGTCTGGTTTCCAAAGCAGTTTTGAGAGCAGTAAAGGACAAACTGGGGCTGTCAGATGGGATACCTACTGCTGTACAAGGCCGGTTTGGCAACTGTAAAGGTGTATGGTTGCTTCATCCTGACGACGAAGAAAACAATCCAAACATGACTATCTGGAATCGCCCCAGTATGCGAAAGTACAAACTGGATAGACCCGATGCTCATCAGTGCACCTTCGAAGTTGTAAAGCCCGCCCGGGCAAGCATCGGTGTACTCAATTACCAGATTTTGCAACTTCTTGAACATGGAGGTGTGAATTCAGACGTGTTTGTGACTCTGCACAGAGAAGCTTTGGAACCTCTTGAAAAGAAACTATTTTCTGAGAATGTCTTGGAGATAATTAGGACTATCGAGGTCAGGCCGCAAATTATCATGAGCATCGACGTCTGTGATGACGGGATACTAACATCCTCAGCAGACCTTAGAGGGAGTTGTTTCGAGAAGAGCCGAAGCAGATTTTAGTCGCCGGGCCCGTGATTCTCCATCAAACAAAAGTAATAAGCTTGACAGTGTCGGTGATTCTTACCTTTCAGAAACAGCATTGGATCTGCTACGGTCAGGATTTACACCTAAAAGCTTGCCGTTTCTGACGGTCGTCATTTGGAGAATTCTTGCCAACTATACGCACAGATTTTCTGACAAGGCAGCCATTCCTATTCCTCAATCCCGAAGAGTCGGTGAGATAGAACTTGTTTCCGCGTGTACCTGACTTCTCAATTTAAACATCGTTGACTTAGTGATTGTTCCCGATCCAAGTGGCTGTTTACTAGCCGATGAGTGTTTTCTCCAACTCGAAGGCCGTGAAGTTGATGAAGATGGGAACTCAATCGGCATACTTATTGGTGACGTGGTGGTATGTGTTTTCACCATGCTGTTGCCCCTCAACTCAATATTCACAGTGTTAACTGTGTTCAATTCAGCTTGGTAGAAATCCTGCACATCTACCAACGGATGTTGTGAAGGTGGTTGTCAAAATCAAATAAGCTTGTCAATCGATTGAGAGTATTAAACCAGTTTTGAATCCAAATTAGATCAAGGCGGTATTTAGGCCAGAGTTGATTCACTACCGTGATGTGATCATACTACCTACGACTGGCGAAAGGTCTGTAGCTTCAATGCTAAGTGGTGGTGACTATGATGGCGATGATGTTCTTATCATTTGGGTCAGTTTTGAAGATTTTCGTTAGTCTCGACCTCAAAGTGAAAACAAGCCTCTCTCTTAGGACAAACGTATTGTCGAATCCTTCCACAATTCGGAAATCACGCAGAAGTATCCTAGCGTTGATGAAATGTTGTATATGGATGAGCGGAAGGTATCGAATTGTGACCTCAATCAGTCGCTCTGGGATCTTTTTGCCGCTCCCAACGACTCCTTTTTGGGGTTGTATACCAATTTTGCTCAAACTTTGGCCGATATGTATGGGTGTGCTGATGAAAGAGCTATAATAACAGGCCTTGTGTGTGGAGGACTTGTAGATAGTCGGAAGAGTGGAAAAAGGTTAAGGGAGGAGTGTAGAAAGGCTCACTCAGCCTGGGTTGATTTGGCCAAGAGCAAGCCGGAATGGCTATCAAACGGTACTCGCCCATCTACTAGAGCAGCTGGAATTTATTGGAAGAATTCAAAAGCTCAATCTGAACGAGTCTCGGAATGTATTCAAGCAGGACGTCGTGAGCTTGGTAAAACAGCTGACCAAGACTTGTTGGCCCCGCTGAGACGTATAGAAATGATACAGAACGAAAACATTCAGCTCTCACTCCACACACTCAAGGTCGCCATGGCCGAAATCGCCGAACGATACTGTAAAGGGATAGCAGACCAAATCAGAAATGCTGATACAGCCAATCCATCAGAAACGACCCTGGCCGTGAATCAATTGATGGACTTCCGAATTCGTATTCCAGAGCTCAACTTGGGTGTATGCGACTTTGTGGGTGTTAATGAAAGAATGTTGAAGGCGTCACTGATGTACCACGTCTCGATTGGGAAGTCTTGGGAGGCTTGGCCTTGGAAGTAAGATTTCTGTTATTACGCCCCATGAACTTGTAACAGTTAGGTAACTACTTTGTTTGGCCATTTAGGGTCCCATCAGCAAGATCCGAACTTTGTTTCTTGAAAGCATTCCATGACGGCGTGATGATCAAAGCTGATATCGCACGTGGAATGCAAATGAGTAAAAAATACGTCGAAAAGTCACTGGCAACGTTCTAAATTTGTTTCGTAAATTATTACCGTATATCCTAGCATTAGACACAGTACAATAATACACGTAATTGACACCTTTGCCAGATTTGCCCATTATTTTCAATAGTTTTCTCAGCTTAAAACACGAACATCGTGTCGCGGATGGACTGATGAGTTGATAGTTGATGGATGCGAAACGATGAGCCGAGCTGAAGTCATAATGAAAACGAAGAGTTCTGGTACGTAAGCCGTCGACGAGATAAAACTGTGCACATAGATCTAACAGATCTGATCTCGTTTGATTAGGCTTGTGCTATTATTTTGCCTATGTCTGTTTCTTAATTTTGATGTTGATTCAAAGCACCCAAGAAACTGACGACAACGGAGTCCTGATACCCAAGAAATACGATTACAGGTAAATAATTCCAGGTTCTTTTTTTTCGTGGGAGCTCAATGTTGGAGATTGTGCGCTTTCGCTTTCATGACAATTCAAATTCAAAACTCAGTCCTTTCGAGCATGTTGAATTTTTGGCTCATATTGATATTTATCGATACCAAAGATAACCATTTTGTTTGAAAACATTCATTCCTTTCTGAAACAACCTCATCAATTGCTAGATTTTCGCTCAAGTCACCTTATTATGTGAGTGTTTTCGATCTCCCCTTCATGCTACTTTCTGACAAATACGTCGCTCTAAAATGCTCATGCCGCGCTAGTTTCCGGAAGACAATAAGAGTCTTCCATACTGGGATTCTCTCGGGGGCGTACTTTTTGGTGGTCAATTTATACGACTTACACCGTCAGTGCCTCATCAAGTTGGCGCAATATGGAGCAAGCATGCAAACCAACACAAAGAGTGGGAGGTAATCTACTAGATCTGTTTGTCCAAAGGACAGAAAGTTTTCTGTCTCGTTTCGACTCTCACTATAAAGTGCTTTTGAAGGTCAAGGTTGGACTAAAGATTTCCTCTAAAGGCTATGTCGGTGGTCGAGGACTGGCTTTCTGGTATACGAAAGAAAGAGCCAATGAAGGGTGTGACAGCTATGCCTGTACGTCGTTCATGGGAGGCCGAGATGGGTTTTCAGGTGTAGCGGTTGTTCTAGATACAACAGATCCAGCATCAAACCGAATGATGCCGCTAAGTGAGCGAATTATTGTTGGTAATGGCCACTTGTTGGTAATAATCGCTCATCAGCTTCATCTTTCCCTAGTATACGCTGTCGAGAACGATGGGCATCCTAGAGGGGGTTTGTCGATATATCCTACTCTCGCGCGTTCTCAGTGCTTTTTTGATTATCATAACCGCCCAGTTCCCTTTCTTCTGAGAATCCAGCATGTGGGTGTTGCTCGAAATCAATCGAATGTCAGCAAGTGCATGTTTTTTTTACTCCTCGTCCCAACTAGGTCAATAGGTCTCTCATCGTAGATTACGATTTGAGTCATCTTCCAGGCACTCATTTCAACCATTGCATGACTATCCGAGATATTGATTTACCAACCAACTACTTCTTCGGCATCTCCGCAATGACATCTGAAATTTATGCTGATGATATGGACGTTACACTTGTAGAAGTGTCAGAGTTGAATGCACAGCCTTCAAAACAGGTATGTTGCCTAGCCGTGCAATCACTGTTTCTGTAAAATTGATTTCTGACTCCTTGTATCAATAGCATCCTCTTAGGCCTCATGAACTTGAAAAGCAAGAGCAGGGAGAAGGATTGAATGTTACAGAATCACAAGAGGTCTGTTCAATCAATTCACTAGAATGGTCTTGATTGCGATCTCACTTTTTTGGAATTCATTAGTGGATTGAAGAGGCAGAGAGACTCGCCTCTGAAGTCGAAGGAGAACAAAATCCAGATGGTGCATATGGAGAAGCTTACAACGTCATGTTGACTCCTGAATACTTGGAGACTCTTCGAGAGACGCAGTACAAAATTTTAGAATCGCTAGATCACCTGCATGCTTCAAACTTTGGTGGTAGTACTAGTAATTCGGACTCTCAACCTGCAGGCAATGAAAATTTGCATCAAGTTGTGGGAATGATTCAGCATATTTCGTAAGTGTAAAGCAACTGTTGTTTTATCAATTTCTGGGATTCAACGTTTCAACTCATGTCCGAACTTCAGGTCGAAAGTCGATGCCTTGTCCAAAGCTGCTTCACAGGTGGAACTGCTAGTACAGAAAGCCAACGGGCTTGAACAAACAGTCAAACAACTACAGGCTACCATAAATACCAATCATGACAAATCTGCCGCCAAATTTGATTCCCTCGAATCCAAAGTCAATGAACTAAAAGTACAAGCTGCCAATGAACCAGTACTGAACAAGCCTCAAGCATCACATCCATCAGCACCAGACCAGACAGTGACTCATACATATATGATCATTTTGATTTTCTTGGCGACACTGGGGGTGCTACTGGGACTCTATGCCGTCTGGGCCAGCCGAAAACAATCTTCTCAAGCAAAAAAGTTTATATAGAGTGTGAAATATATACATTATATGCTGTTCTATACCTGGCTGCAAAACTTTATGTGCATATGTATAAGACCAAAAGAGAGATCGAGTAAACGACGCCTTTATCAGACCACTGGGGTGTAATTATCAATGGTCTCCAATCTGCGGATCAGTTCAACTGCTGTTGGTCGACTAGCAGGGTCTCGGCTAACACAGCTGATAATGACATTTGCTATATCTTGAGATACGAGCTCCCCGTTCGAGAATCTCAGACCCTGTGACCCTCCGATCAAAGGACCTTCAGGACCTACATCGCGTTGCAATCCTGACTCGAAGAATCCCTTTTTGATCGACATGATTAGCGACATTGACGTTCTAGCTGTCGAGAAAGGATCTACTCCATTGATACAAAAGAATAAGGTGACACCAACACTGTACACGTCGATCTAAAGTGAATAATGGTTATAGTGCGAATACCAAAATCATTACCAGAAAATTTATTGTACGAACCGGAAAGCTATATTCTCCTTGAGAAAACAGTTCTGGTGCTGAATACGGCTGAGTACCTCTAAGCACGCCATCAATCGTAGACGAAAATCCCGCCGAAGATCGTGTCGGAGACGATCCAATAGGTGATGGAGTTAGATGCTCTCGTGATGGTGAGTCAAGTTGTCGTCCTCTCTCTATTGTCAGTGTTGGCATATTTCCATCATCGACAAAGGCAGCATTACCAAAATCGGCGAGTTTCAAGTCTAACACATCAGTCAGCTATTTTATCCATGTGACATGAATGTGAGTGATAATGCACAGCGAACACACAACAAAAGATGCCAATGAAAGAGCTAACGGCGCATACCAAGCAATTATGTGGCTTGATATCATGATGAATAAGCCCCTGGCCATGTATACAAGCTAAAGCACTGGCCAGTTGTCGAGCAAACTTCATCCAAACTCGCCTACCAATTTTGGTAGGATTCTTCCTGATGAATCCATATAGAGTACCTCCGCTGCATAGTTCCAATACAAGAAGCAAACGCGGCGAAGGATCCCCTATAGTGCCCTCTGGTGGTCTTTGAATATTCGAGAAGCTGGTACGTTGTCTCGGCTTTGTAACAGTTCCAGGAGTTTCCAATTCCGTGCCCTCGTCCTTGGCTCCTATTAAACCAATCAGATTTGGATGATTCGCTTCCTGCAATCGTCTTAGTATAAACAACTCTGCTAATCCGACAGCCTGTGATTCACTAGTAGCATGATATCGTTTGACGGCACACGGTAATGGATCATTCTCTTCCCAAGAGCTGGCAAGCATTGACTTTTGACGATCTATTATATTATATGAGCCCAAGAATACCTAAATTGAGAGTTGGCATTTTTGTGTATTGTTGCAACAATCGAGCAAGCAATACCTGAGCGTAACGGCCCTCTCCCAAGAAATTCTTGCGTATAGGAAAGAACATGAGTTGTAAATCATCCGACAGCGCTGGGTTTGTTACAGATGTGGCAGAAGAATATGATGATTGTTGCGGTTGCTGTTCAGTCGGGGGCAAGTGTGTTGCTTTTTGTAGTCCAGTCGTAGAAGGGAGTAGTACGGATAGTGGCTTGGGCTGTATTGATGATGCTGCTGTGGTATTGTTGGTATGCAGACTCTTCAAGTCGCCGTGGCTGTCGTCTACATGGACCTGCCGTGTTACAGGTACTGTTATAGAAGTGCGAGATGGCTCGTACGAGTATGGTTCTGAAGATTGCGATTGTGTTGAGGGTACTTGACCGGACCTCAACTCTGCTAATTCCTGCTCCGTCATTTTCAAAGCAGGCTTCATGATAGTCTGCGGTGTGTCGAATATACCTATGAAACAGTAGCACGAGTATGAGAAAAATTGTCCAAAAAGGAATAAGATGCTGTAGACATACTGTTTTTAGAAGCTTTTGGTGGTGCATCCACTCCAGGATCCTTTTTGTCGTTGTCCTTGTTCCATGTCGAAAACAGCGAGTTTTCCTCATACGCCCAGAGATCGCGTTTACTAGAACCGAGGACATTTTGATGATCGTGAGGAGATACAAAGGGAGAGTATGGAGCAGTAGGAGAAGTGAAGTCGTTGTTGTGATCAGGCAGTTCCAAGTCGACAAACTGTCTTCGGGATTGTTTCTTATCCTATATAGAATGAAGTGAGCGAATGCATACTATGGAATCACATGTACGGAAGAGAGTAGGATTCTCGGTTCAAAGTGCAAGCAATCAAGATGACACACAACAGATGAAATGTTTCAACACGAAGCAAATCAAGACATGGAGCAAGCAGAGAAGGAAGGAAGACATCTATGCGCATTCAAGCAAGCCCAATTCGCTCTCTTTCGTGCTTACCTGGAATGCCATCCTTGTGGTTTACTGCTTGAATTGTCAGATCCAAGACTTCATCAACATTGTCAGTAACTCGGGACAGCGTATTGGACTAGGATCTCTCTCGAGCTCCTCCTATATATCGTCTACTACTAGGAATACGGCTCTCATTGCATTATTGGATCCAGGGACGTGTCTTCATTTGATGAATCGAAGCTGGTGCAAACTGTTGCGAAAGCAACTTGCAAGCATGAGAATGCCAACAAACGGATTCAAATTATTCGTGTTTTTATCTTGATCACCAAAGGCTACGACCACTGAGATCATGCTCCGAGTTTTGCATCAACTCGAGTCGCGTCCACCAAACACTCTTATGAAGGCGCATGACATTGAGAACAATTGGAAATGGTCCTCTTGCTCTGTCGTAATTCGCTTGAATGAGACTCTTGTACCTCTCTATATAAATTGGTGTTATGGACAATCGGGACTGTGTTGTATGTAGTGAACATTGATTCAGGTCGGAACCATAGTCAATCTGCTGCAATTCTCATCCATGTGCAAGTGCATTGCATTACTGGCTGTATCTGCTCGTCCAAGTATTCCCACCAACCCAAAATCCTCCGTGACAAACTTCCCAATCACACCTTTCCCATTCCTTTTGAAACTATAACTATCTGTAAATTGAACTTGGAAATCTGCCATCTATTGGATTGTATTCTGTAACTGCACTGTCTTAGCTGACACTACTTTCAAACCAAAAACCACCGTTGCTCCAAAATTATGACTTCAGACCAGCACCAGGAGGACCATCACTTGGTGAGTGATGTTATTGGTTTCCGAACTCGCGCATTACAATAAACTAACCTCCTTCACCGCAGAAAGTGAGAGTTGCTGAGGTCAAAAATGTGAACTTGAACGGGCTTGAAGCCTACTGCACTGTCGGTTTACGTCACAAGTCAGATGACGGATCAATTGCAGTACTCGCAACCACCGATTCCAAACTCGAGAAAAGTCGCCCAAGTCTCAATCTACGAATTTCTAGAACTGGCTCATCCATGGTCCTAAATAGCAAAAGTACGCCAACTCTGAATCGTACACGTCCTGTAGCTGGAGCTTCTCCTCTATGGACAGAAGAGTTTGATTTTGATTTGGACGATGGATTTGATGCTATGATCATAACAGTCTACAAGAAAACTTTGGTAAAAGACACCATAGTGGGAACACTGATAATACCGGTCGATCTTTTGGAACCAGATTCCAAGTCTCAGGAATCTTGGTATTCGCTCTCAAACAGATATGCCGAACAGCTCGATATCAAATCTACAAAGAGTCCACATTCATTCGAACCATTGGAATCAACCTTACCAACTGTGTGTGCCGAGTGTAGAGGATTGCTGTGGTCTGTTGGAGTGTTGGGTGATTCTGGAAGAGTTAGATGTGAAAATTGTCATACAACAGCTCATTCGAAATGCTCCTCAAAACTTCCTGCTGATTGTGGTCAAGTTGGATCGATACGTGTTCTGTACACTTATACTCGTGAACCCATTTGTGTATGTCGATATTACAATTGTCTTTATACCAGGAACTAACCGGTTTTCCTGGTGTACTTTAAGCCCAGATCTGAATACGATACAATGACCAACATCTTACTCGCTGAAGACCTTCAGGCTCTATCAATATTTGGACGAGTTTGTGAAGAACGTGAGGATGTAGCCAAACATCTTTTGACTCTACTCGATTCACGAGGATTGGCGAGAAACGTCATTTGCAAATTATGCCAGTTTGAAATACAAGCTGTAAGTTTCCCACAGTAATGCTTTTGTCGAACCTCATCTCTTATACTCAGCTTGAATTAGACAAAAGATCCAAACACCATATTCCGCGGAAACAGTCTTGCTACCAAGAGTCTTGACGTCTACATGAAGTAAGATGTTTTGACCTCCATCCTGTTTCTTACATACTGACGGCTCCCGTCTAGGCGAGTTGGAATGAAATACCTGCAAGACATACTTCAACCCATAGTCAAGGTGTGTTCCAGAGTGTCTCCATCCTTCTATCAATGACCTTACAAACTTGCACCCAAATTCTATAGGAAATCATAAAGCAAAACCGTTCGACTGAACTGGATCCTCTTAAACGAGAAAATCAAAACTCAGAAGCGCAAGACGAAGCTCAAACAGTGCTCATTGCATATGTGCAATGGACCTTACGATCCATCTTATCCTCATCCAAAAAATGTCCCAAAGGCATGAAGACAATTTTTCGAACAATAAGGAGCGAGATTGTCAAGACGTTTCCAACGGACAAGGTTGCCATATATACTGCCGTCACATCCTTCATCTTTCTTCGATTCTTCAATGCAGGCAAGTCCTTCATGTGATGGTTTTTGTGAAAATTTGTTTCTGACCTTGAATCTGTTCCTATTAGCCATCCTTTCCCCAAAACTATTCGACCTCACCGATACACTACCAAACAGCACAAATGCCAGAACATTCGCCCTTATTAGCAAATGTTGTCAACAATCAGCCAACTTTGTACCATTTGACGGCCGAAAGGAAGCATTCATGCAATGTTGCAACGACGTTGTGTCTAGTCACTTTCAGGAAGTGCGAAAGTTCTGTGATGAGCTCTGTGAACCAGAAACGAGAAAAACCAGAAGACTTGGTGGAAGTGGAACGTCCAGTGCCATGTTCTCGTGCTGCACAAACGACGAGGACAACAACGGCCCCAAAAGCCCCGTCACGAAAGCCTCTGAAGTCCTGTCTACTGCTGAATTCGACAATACAAACAAGCAGGGAGAGGTCGCGAAATCACTCGCTGCATTATCCAGGCACATTTCTAGGGTGCAAGAGAAGATGATGGCCTCAGTTAAAAGCCCCGAGGAACGGGAAGCAAGCACTAAACTCCTTGCAGCTGTATCCACGCTGGTCAAGTCAAATTATGCGATGGAACGAAGGAGACTTACAAACGAAATGCTTGTGAAGAGACGAACCAACTATGTCTTTGCAGAAGAAGCTCCTCAAGAAACCTCAGCAACAGTCACCGATCCACATATACCGACCGCTTCTTCCGCAAACCTGGAATCCACACCAGAATCCAATGTCCCACGGTGATTATTTTGGTTTATGTTTGATAGTCGTAGTGATAAATTTGCATACAAACAATATATATAGAGTCGCATAAAGGAAATTCAAGTTGCAAACAAGGGAGATATCCATATAATTAGACAGTTTTTTGAGGAGCCACAAACGTAACAGGTAAGAATCCTGCCTTTGAGGTCCTTAGATTTTGCCCTTGCGCCCACCTACAAGCCAATCAATCAGCAAACACATGTACGTAATCAGTTGAGCTTTGACCTACCCGTCATTGTAAATAGCCTTAACATCAACGAGGTCGTTCAGTTCAAGCTCGAGCTCGTCCGACAGCTTGGGTTGGTATGCTCTAACAACTATCCAGTAGAACACTGGCACTTCCGGCTGTGGTTTCTGCTCTCCATCTAGAGTCATCTGGTCCATGGCTAGCTGGAGCGACTTCCTGAGAATCTGCTCTGTTTTCTGCGACGGTGATGATGACTGCTCGGGAGTGCTGGGTACAGATTTAGATCTCTTTCTAGTTGAGCGTTTAACCCTAGTGGAAGCTGCGACAACATCATATTCTACAGAACCTCCTCGCTGACCAGTCGAATCCACCAGCTGTTGTTGTTCTTCTGCAAGAGAAGCCTTGAATCTCCGTTCATCACCGGCTGCGAATGATGGTCTACCATATATGCTATCAGGAGTAGTGCGACCTCCTCCTTCCTCCAGTAACTTTCGAGTCACAGTGTTTTTACGAGCATATTTCTCGGCCAGTCTAAGCTTTCGTTTACGTGAGATATAGTAGCATGTGGCTAGTGCTAAAAGTAAGACCAAGAATAGGACTCCGGTGATTATAGCGAGTACGATGGCGGAATTGTTCTGGCTGGTTGGCGAAAGGGTGGATGTATCACTGTTGCTAGTTGGCGACGAGCTAGAGCTTGCTGCAGCATAGGGCGAATAAAATGCCGTTGGAGAAGGATATAATGGAGATACACTGACAGAGGATGGAGCAGCAGTTGCTGTTGTTCTTGCTATAGACACAGGTTGTGCGGTTAGCTTGGATTGTGAAAAGACGCTTGCAAGGATATAATAGAGAACGGAATAGATCCAGAGGTATGTTGGCACTCAGAATATCTACATACCTAGCGTAGTGGCACCAGCCCCCATTTTGTGAGAGCGACCGAATAAGAGAGTTACAGCCTCCGAGGGTAAAGTTCACTTTCCAATGCAAAACTGGTGCAATTCCGGATTACTACGCCAGCAACAGAGCTGTTGATATTCGGTAAGGTATGATTGTAAGTTCAGATGTTCGAAAATGAATATTTTGCTTTCGAACGCTCTTCCCGAATGCCGAGAAAAAGGGGAAGAAGTTTGTCTTTGTTCTGTGTTTTGTCGTTTTAGGGGCGTACAAGCGAGGAGACGAAGGTGAACGTGGAATATGCGCAAAGTAATTTGCCTTTCCAATGATTTCTATATATCTACATACAAAAGACAATCGTGCAAAACTAATACTAATGACGCCATCTACGAGAATTTGAGAGTTGAGAAAATAAGCGAAAAAAGCACGGCGGTATAAGACCATAAAGCTTACATTTTGAGGACACGATCTCGACCACCGCTAGCAACATATCGACCATCTGGCGACCAATCAACGGCAAACACCTCATCAGCATGACCAGGCAAATCTACCTTGATTTTACCATCACGCACATCCCATACTTTCAATGTCGTATCTTTACTTCCTGATACCAACGATCTCGAATCAGGAGACCAGCATGCAAAGTAAACATTACCGACATGACCTCGCAAATTCCTCAAGAACTTGCCATTCAGCCCATCCCATAGCTTTATGCTTTTATCAAACGAGGATGATGATATATATCGACCGTCTGGTGAGAATGACACATGCGTTACTGGTTGCTGATGTCCCGTTAATCGAGCAATGGGCTGTTTTGATTCAGTTGGAGACCATAAATACAAGGTAAAATCGTCGGAGGCTGATACTAGGCGTTCGGGATGTGTTGCGGTTGTGCGGGACTCTTTATATCGTTTATTGGCAGCCTGTTGAGCTTCTTCTGCATTGGCGAATTCTGGTAGTGTGTGATCGAAGGGACCTGTTCGTGTTAAAAAGTCGGTACTAAGAGCCAAGTGGTTGACCCAATGTGCATGACCTTCTAGAGTTCGTACGAGTTTCCCAGATGATGCTTCCCATACTTTTATTGTCTTGTCTCTAGATCCTGTATACACTAATCCTTCCGCACCCCATTTAACACACATAACAGGACCTGTATGGCTACCCAAAGTCAGTATACAGCGTCTATGTATGGCATCCCATATTTTGGCAGTGCCGTCTTTGGAGCCAGATATAAATAAATTCGAGTCAAACTTGGGTTCCCAAGCAATGGAGGTAATTACTTGAGAGTGAGATCTCAAAGCATCGCCCATGGGCTTTCCATCTACAGTGGACCATAATCTGATGGTGGAATCCATACTTCCAGATGCTAGTATTTTACAGTTTTGCGAAAAGGCTACTACTTGGACCCAATTCTTGTGACCGTCTAGTGTGAATTGCGGTGTTTCGGTATTCAAATCCCATATTCTAACGGTAGTATCTCCTAAAAAATCAATTACGCGTTAAATATATAGGCTTTACCGAGGGTAGGAAGGCGACTATTAAACGTGCAACCATGACTTGCCTGAACCAGAGGCTAGTTGACGGCCGTTGGGGCTGAATACTACAGTAAGGACAGCTTCCGTATGACCCTCTAAGGATGAGCTACATCTTGTTACAGCTCGGACACGGAATATAGCTTGAGGGTGGTAGAGTATGGTGAAGAGTGATTCCGTAGAGGTTTCAGCATTTGAAGCAATGGCATCGTCGTATACAGAGTGCGATATTTCCGTGTCATTTACAAAAAATGTGTATGGCAACGGATCTTCCTCCTGTTTGGAATCTTGGTGTCAGATCTTTTTTTTTTCTTGTGTAAATGTGAGCTCGACAAAAGACATACATTTCCCAGTAGCTTGTTGAGCAAGAGTTGCAACTGTTCAGGAGTAGTCTCAGCAGGTAAATTCAATGGTGGACCAGTCACTTCTCCCGTACTGGGCGACTTGAATTGAGCGACAATTTTCATTCCATCAGACATTTTTGGAAGTTCAACCTTCTTAATGGCCAGCTTGGACTTGGTGCCATTATACGGCTTGTATAGCTTGGTATCTCCTGGCATATCTATTCTGCTGATGGGCGACCGATACAAAAGTTACGGAAAATTCCAAAGTTGCAGAGAGAAGACAGGACTTTTGCTAGGAGCCGAGTGTCTCGATGTGTTCAATCCATTTGATACTTGAGGACAATGGTATTCAACATTCAACAGAACTCTCGACTTGGTTGTCTTTGAAACTCAAACACCACAATTCGAGAATGGTTTCTTCGTTTCTTCACTTACTGGAAACTATTAGTTAGGGAATCTTCAAGAAGACAAAATCGTGTATTTCATGCATTTGATATATTAAATCTAATTCGACAATGGCACGTTCGAGTCAAAAGATATATTATATTATGCATGCTCCTACAATCGACTTTATTCTTTCTTTTGGCTCAGGCATTTTATTGGGATTATAGTCCCGCAAATTTACGATTATTAAAACACTTCAAACCCACTAAAGTTGCTATTTGCTCCCCTTATGTTACTGGAATTACGTTTT